TAGCTCAGTGGTTAGAGCATTGCTCATGACAAGCAGGGTCCCAGGTTCGAGTCCTGGTGGGTCTGGCGTTTTTTTCTCTTTTCAGGCAGTTCACTTCCCCGACTGATCATTTGAATAATAATAATAATAATATTAACTGGTTTGAGAGAATAATAATAATAATAATTTCGTAATAAGTATTCGCATGCAACGACGCAAATCCACACAATTCAGTAGACACTTCTTTTCTATCAAACGTTTTCTTTCCCTTCTCTTCAGGATAGTACAGGGAATGTTGTAAATTTGTGCAGCAGCGTTGTACCATAACAAGTCCGTGACTCCACCAGATTTGAATGAGAGCGAATTTGTCAAACTCATGTTAATGGTCACTTCTGGTGTTGAGTTTTCCTTTGACAATGTCATGTATAAACAGTTGGATGGAGTTGCGATGGGATCTCCACTTGGTCCGGTATTAGCAAACATATTCTTTGGATTTTGCGAGTCATCCATTCCCCCATCGCTATGGCCCTCGGTATACTACCGTTTTGTAGATGATGTTTTTTGTCACGACGAGGACCAAGAAACCTGCGAGAACTTTTTAACAACCCTAAACGGACTACATCCTGCATTAAAATTCACTGCAGAAGGTGAACGGGACGGGGTGATATCCTTCAATATTACCCGCAACAACGACACCAAGAGTTTAGACATGACGGTTTACAGAAAACCCACCTTTACTGGCTTGTATATTCCATGGGGAAGCTACACACCAACTAAATCCAAAGTTCACCTTGTCAAAGCACTAGTCTATCGTGCCCATCGAATCTGCTCTCCTCGCCTTCTTCAAGAACTGAGGCGGCTCACATCAATTTTGACAAACAATGGATACCCCTCGTCACTACTAACAAAACTTATTAATAACAAACCAATCACGCAGGATCCGAAACCATTTGGACCGGACAGGTGCCCCGTGGTACTCCGCTTACCCTGGGTGGGTGCTGGTTCTGCGCGCGTCGAAAAGGAGGTGCGCAACATTGTCTGTTCGTCTTACCCGTGCGTAAAATTGTATTTAGTATTTGGAACGACGCGTGCGTTCAGTGTGAAGAAGGACGTTCTACCTACCCTTAGTAGAAGCAACCTTATCTATTTTTTTCAGTGCCGAGAATGTGAAGATCGGTACGTAGGTAGAACCCTTCAACACCTGGGCGCACGCATCCGTCAACATGTGCCGTTAGGTCTTGTCCCTGTTGACGCTCGTGGTACTTGTCCTCGTCGTGGCCGTCCTCCAAAATGTGCTGTGCAGTCCGATACTGGAACGCCTTTGTCTGCGTCCAGTGTAGATGTACGCATGCGCGCCTCCGCCTCGACGGGCGGGGAGCTTGGCCCATCTCAGACTAGCGTGAGGAAGCGAGGGAGACCGTCTCGAAAATCACCCAATGTGACACTGGAGCTCATAGACACCGGAAGAGTTACCAGAAGCAAGGTGAAGAGACGGAGTACTGGGGATTTGAATACGTCGATAATGGAAGTGACAACAACGATCAACAAGAGGAAACGAGGAAGACCAAGAAGTGAAACGAAAACGGCCATGAAATCAACAAAAACGGACATGAAATCAACGGACGTTGGAGGTGTGGACCGGAGCAACCAACCAAACAAGCCCAACGGAAGAGAACAACGGCAGGCGTCGAAGGTGACAGAGCTAAGTGATCGGACATCGTCCATCAAGCGTCATTTTTCGGGCAGTGCTAGTTGTCGTAAGTTGTATAGTGATGATATCTTTTCGATTTTGACTCGTGGAAGGTCTAAGGTACATCTTGCTGTGTTAGAAGCTCTGTATATTCGTAAACTAGATCCAGAACTATGTGTACAGAAGGAGAATGTGTTATCGTTGCAGTTGTTTGGTGTCACACCTCATGAAAGTGTGACAAGTGTTCCCTGATGTGTTCAACGTGTTTGTCTACAACTTGCAGCTGTTTGTTTTTGAGTTTTTAACACTTTAATCATTTTAACACCTATGTTGAAGTGTTGACTTTTTTCTTTCTTTCATTCTCTATATAGTTATGTGTTTTTTCAAATTTACAACATTCCCTGTACTATCCTGAAGAGAAGGGAAAGAAAACGTTTGATAGAAAAGAAGTGTCTACTGAATTGTGTGGATTTGCGTCGTTGCATGCGAATACTTATTACGAAACTGTTTTCCCACCGCCTCCAAACTACTGTTTAGATAATAATAATAATAATAATAATAATAATAATAATAATAATAATAATAATAATAATAATAATAATAATAATACGAAGTAGTGGTTGCGACTTCGGCGATGATTTGTAAGAAATGGTTTGCTCCCCACACCGGAGCTCGCGCTGTCTCACCGTCCAGGAGCGACACTGACTCACGCTGCTATCTGGTGTTCACGAGGTGTTTGTCGCGCTTGAAACGGAGCGTCTCTGTAAGTTTGTATCCCTGGTGATGTTTGTGCCTGGAGAGCACTATATAAGTGGTGCTCTTCAGGCACAATCTTCCTCAGCCTACTCAAGCTCAACTGATGAGGGGTGAATTCCCCGAAACACTGTGTATTGAGCAGGGAGTGGTGCTTTCTTGCAGGTTTGCCGAGTCGAAGGTTCGATGGACTTCTCGTGTGCTCTGGATGGCAGTCGTGAGTCAGTCAAGTGTCAAGTAAAGTCGGCGGAATAGCGCGAGCTCCGGTGTGGGGAGCAAACCATTTCTTACAAATAATAATAATAATAATAATTTGAAAGTAGGACGGAGGCAGAAAATATTACAAAAAAAGTATTGTCTACGCATGCATCTAAGCAAGAGTCACCACCAGCCAATTAGGACATGTGTCAAAGTATTGAACGTTTTCGTTCCCTTCTTGTCAAAATACTACAGGGAATGATGGAAATAAGCTAAAAGACTACAACTATAAGGAAGTCCGCTGTGGATACGCTTGCCGACGCCTCCTCCTTTTCGTCGGGCGGAGGGCTGGAGCCAACCCAAACAACAGTCAACAAGAAGAAGAGACCGATACGGAAACCACCGAAACTGACATCTGGACAATCGAGCCCCGGACGAGTCACCAGAAGTCAATTGAGGAGACGAATTGATGACGAATCAAAAGAACCAATACTGGAAGTGACAACAACGGTTAATGTGAAGAAACGAGGTAGACCACGGAAGCAGGACAGACTGGACGTGGAGCAGCACACGGATCTCGACCGAGGCAATCGGAATTGCAGGGACGCAGGGCGTAATAGGAGAGATTCGCAAGCGGCAATATCGGAGGTGACAACGGCCAAGTCGTCGGGTCAGGGAAACGGTACCTCGGCAATCAAGTGTCACCTGTCGGGCAGTGCTAGTTGTCGTGAGTGGTATTCCGATGATGTATTCTCTGTTTTGTCGCGTGGTAGGTCTTTGTTACATCTTGCCGTGTTGGAAGCTTTGTACATACGTAAGTTAGACCCTGAGCTTTGTGTTCAGAAGGAGAATGTGTTGTCTTTGCAGTTGTTTGGCACTGTTCGTCGTGAAGGTGCGAAATAGATCTCTTGATATTTCTCTCTTTTTCTTGTCACTACGTTTTTGTCACTTATTGGATTTGCATGCTGTTTTCTTGATTCTTCACATCTATTTTTTCGTGTCACTTCTACACATAATTGGAGTGATATATTTCTGAACTTCTTTTCCTTATAGTTGTAGTCTTTTAGCTTATTTCCATCATTCCCTGTACTATAGTATTTTGACAAGAAGGGAACGAAAACGTTCAATACTTTGACACATGTCCTAATTGGCTGGTGGTGACTCTTGCGTAGATGCATGCGTAGACAATACTTTTTTTGTAATAATAATAATAATTTTATTAGTGCAATTAGGAGTATAATCGATGCAGACATGGCCAGACAACAACGAGTTCATGGAATTTTTAAGGATTTTTATGTTATTCAAAATCGATTTTCGTGTTCCGCTCATCAGTGAATAGTATCGGAACTGAGGGTACTGTGTACAACAATAGAACATTTTATAACAGCATAATTAATTAAAAGTGTGAACAACAAAGGAAGTGCTACAGCATTACATAATAGGTGTCAAACATAGTGCTAAGGTATATAACTGAGTGCAGCCACAAAGCAAGAGGTGATACAGTGCAACATGACACAACATTTACATCTGATAACCAGCTACGAGAACAACTTTAGCGCAACTACATGCTTCTTTTGTTTACAAAGAACAGGATTATGCACACGAATACATACAGCTTCCAGAACCTTCAACTGCTTAATGTGATACTGCAGGGAGTCGCAGGCTTGTAATAATCCTGGCTCGGTTATAATTATGGAGCGCTGTATCGTCCGCGTAGAGTGAGGTATGATCCAAACCTGCCAAATCATTAACGTATACGATGAACAATAGAGGCCCCAAGATAGAGCCCTGGGGCACTCCAGAGTGGACTGTTTAATACCATAGTCCATAGTCTTATACCTGAGTGCTGGCACCTGAAATCCGACCCCCTGAGCTGTGCGCTCACATCGCAAAGAATGTGAACCCACCGCTCAGGGGGTCGGATTTCAGTTGCACTGTGTACATGATGTAGTAACAGTCCACTTGCACTGTCTGTCGACGTACATGTACGTGTCACCACTCACCAGGCGCTAGCGCTAGCCGCTAGGCCGGCATCACTCATCACTGACATCAGCAAGCGCCGCGCCTGTACCATGACATGGTACAGGCGCGGCACTTTTTGTGTACTGTGTCACCGTGTGTGTCAGTGCACACTGCATGCACGTACATAATATTATACATAATAATAATTATGTATATACTAGCTGTAAAAATGATTGATTTCTGCATTTTCTACACAGAAAATCTCATTTCCACAGCCAAGGCAAGTGCGTAGATCTAGCTCTACGTAGCTGAGCCTAAACTAAAGCTAGTGTCAGATCAGTACCGGGTGCGATGGCCTTTTGGAAGTACACGCATTGTACAATGTCATTGTATAAATAAATAATTATTAGTTTTGCACTGCTTCTAGAATTCTCGCGTTAGTTGTTGTCTTTCTGTGGCAAGACATGCGAATATTTTCTAGACCAGTAATTATAACGATTGTTGCATATCCCAGTACCTGTATCGTTCAGCTGCTTGTTGTGTCCTAGCGTTCCAATAAGTTTGCAGTGCACCTCGATCTCGACTTTGAATGCAATGTGCTCTTAGCGGACTCTGTTGTCATTGATAGGGAACTGCATGTTACATGACATTCTGGTCGTTAGTGAAGTTTGCTTCCCCTACTGTTAGCTGCGACTGTGTTCGCGCTCTGGACGACTGGCAGCTCGACAAAGTGCTCATTTGAACACACACACGCGACTTCTAGCTGCCGCAGCAACGAGTTTCAGGAGCGTCGCCAGATCGGTAACAACTGCGACAATCTGATCAAGTCTGCTGCTACTGAGTCTGGACATTTGGAGTGGGCTGTTTATACCAGTACCCTACTATTAAAGTTAATGTAAGTTATTCGCTTGACACATACACTCTGCCATGATTTATCTGACTTTCACGGTGGAAAGACACAGTGACACAGTGTCACAGTGGTGTGTTTTGTTCGGAAGTTATCGGTACTCAAGTACGTGGGCAGTACACAAAAGGTTGAGCCACATTTTCATAGTTTGATTAATGCAATTGTGTAGGAAATGCAGCCCCACAAATATATGTAAATTGTGAAGAGATGAGATCCAGTATCCAGGCTAACCAAGGCTGAAATCCCACCAGCCAGCCACCATGCTATTTTGGATTTTCTGATACCCCCGCATGCCACCTGAAGTTACTCAGAGGATGCCCAACTTTTCAACAGCTTATTGTCGAAAGTGATACCTCGATGAATAGAAGTGATGCGGCAGTGTTGTGGAAGAGAGCCATGCTGGAATTGTCTGGGCACCTGAATGAAACGCTTTTTACTGCGCTAAATGCTGCGGTGCAAACTATTATGCACTTTTTTTAAATTTTTTATGAGAAGTGCGATCAACCGACATTTCTCTTGTGTCACAAGTACTGTAATTTCACAAATTTTCGGTGTACAGTCGAATGTCACTTATCCGGTCGCCAGTTGTCCGAGCACGTCGGTTATCCGACAAGCCCGGGAGTGGTAATTTTATGACTCAACTGTAAAATTCTTTAAAAAAGTTTTTTTGTGTATATTATACGGTGTAATATGCATTTACTTGAAGTAGATGTGGTCAAGTATGCTAACATGTACATGTATGTGTACATGGAGCAATTCATGAATATGCATGAATATATTTGGGTATTGTGTACATAAATCAGTGAAATCCAGCCATATATGCACCTAAAAAATTATGTCAGTTATCCAACATGCCTGATTCCCGAAGTGGTCGGGTAAGTGACATTCGACTGTACTTCTATTTTCGGTACTTTCGGTGCATCTGCTTCATACCTAAAATTTCAATACACCGAACAAACACTAACAGGTCATCCCTCAAATAAAGATAATAATAATAATAATACGAAGTAGTGGTTGCGAAGCACACACACATAGTCCAATAGGGAATAGGGAACAGCTTCCCTGTACCGAAAATTTCTGTTCACCTAACCCGGCCTTTTGCCCTCATACCGAAAATATTGAGCACCGAAAATTTCTGAAATTAGAGCAACTGTCCTCCATGACTAGCCAAACCGCATCTGGAGGGTGTGCGTAAGTCGATCGATGTTGTCTGGTACAACAAGCATTGCCTTTACACTTTCCAAGGCCTTTCCCTCAAGGCTTTCTGCAAACGGGTCATGTTCTCTTGATTTGAGAAGCCACACTCTGCCGTGGAGGTCGTAAGCACTCGGTTGAACGTAGGCGATGCTGCTGGATCACTGTTGAAGGCCGACAGGTCTTTGGTGGCTGACTGTCTTGCCAACATTCTCCGCAGATCCTTGTCGGAGACATTCTGGCAGGCTGGATTGGCTGCACTTGGTGTTGTCAGCTTATTCGACAATGCCGAGTCTATCGTATTGGCCTTCTTGAAGGAGGGGATTGCCCGCAAGGGCAAGTTCAATCAAGCTCTGACCACTGTTCTGTCGTATGCGGAGTTTTTTAAAAACTATTTTCATGGTTGTGCGCTCGCTACACACTACATGCCCGCTACAGGGGCTGGTGGGACCCCTTCAGTCACCTCAACCACCTTGTGCTCTGGGTGTAATTCTACATGTTGAGCAGACTCCCCACCGTCCCGCACCAAGTAGTGTGACTGCCATGTGTCCATTCCCCTCGCGCTGTGGCCGTCGTCGAGCACGGGCACGTCTATGCGCTTGTCGGCGACCACCTCGTTGGCCTGAATCACCGCCAGGTCCACGGTGAGCTGGAGATTGGAGAGTCTTTTCTCGCTTTCCAGCCTATCGTTCCTCGCTTCAAAATGGAGAAGAAAATCAAGCAATTTTAGGGGCCCTCCAAGTTACCAATTGTTTTTTCAAAAAGGAAAGTTTTCGTTCGGGGTGGCCGGGTTTTAGGCGCTTTGACAATAATTATTGAATGCACACGGGGAATTGCCAGGTAGAGGGGACTGTTCGATACCGGAACGGTTTGACAGCCAAATTTGTATAGACCCAAACCGATCATCAGCGTGGATTGTTCACTCGAAATATATTTGTGGAAAGAAACTGGCATGTTGAAGTTTGCTCTGAGGCAGAGTCAATCGAACTGAGCCACTCCTTTGTGTTGGCCCATTGCCTCCAGCCCAATGTTTCGCTTCAAAATCAGAAGTGCCTCCAAACCGGAAAGGTTTTAGAGTGCACGTAAAATTCACTCTGAGTTGTGAAATTAGGTAATTGCTATCGCTCCACGACGGCCAATACAGAGTAACAATAAGCCTTGTGTGTGCTTCCATTAGTTTTCATTGGTATAAGGTGCTTTATTGGCGAGAGGCGAGCCGCTGTTTACCTGCGACAAGAAGTTGATTTTTCGAAAGATGTCAAACTCAAGTCGCAGTGCGAAGCAACACGTCAAAAACTCACCTGCTTGGTATGGCGCTTCTGGTCATCGCAGAGCCATGACATTTTGGCTCAGAATAAAACACATCGTAGTACCATTGTGCCATATGTTTTCTAATCAAAGTACCAAGAGAGAAAGTGAATATTGAGTCCGTTCCGGTTTGCAACCTATTTCCTATTTGAAACCGTCCCCTCTACCACTGGGTGCCAAAGATTGAAAACAGCATTTTATGGAACTTAAGGTTCATGTCACCTGCAGAAAGGGTGGTTTGGTTAGGTGGAGGCTGACATTTTTTAAATGTTTCATTTCAAAAACCAACAATGGTAACCCCGGACGGCCCTTTGCGTACATACATGTACGTGAAGTGAACCAGTTATATAACTTACCCAACATACCCAATCTGCGGACAGAAGTGTTTTGTCCTTTGTGGACTCACCAGCGCCGCACAGAGAAAATGAGGTCGGACCGGATAGCAATGAAAAATAAAATTTCCAAAAAACTTACCGAACAAGATTTCCATCGCCCTTAATGCTGATATTTCTTGGTCTGATGCAGATATTAGTGAGGTTCTGCCACACGGTAAAACGTGCCAAAGTACGTATGGAAACTTCGCCGCGGTACGGGATTTAGTTTGATACGGATTTTTTCATACCGTTTTCCGTGTGAAGCGCGCTTCACACGGACTGGACTCCGTGTGAAAAGTGAGCGTACAGAGTACATGTGGCGGGGTGTTCGTGCATGCTTCGAGCATGCTACGTACAGCAGAACCGGTGCAACGTACGAAAAATCCGTGTCAAACTTCACTGCGGTTGACACGGAGTTTGGTACGTAGTTCCGTGTAGCAGAACCTCTCTATTGTTATAAGGGTAAGTCGACTGTAAGTGCACGTTGTCACATACTCCTTTGTTGTTGCTGCTTCTGGCAGAACTAATTGAAGATGGCCGCGTCCTCATCTAACCCGGCTTCTAATGATGCATGCAGTCTGTACGTCGGAGACCTTCACCCTGATGCCACAGAGGCCGCAATCTTTGAAAAGTTTTCGGCCCAGGCACCTGTGATGTCCATAGGCGTCACCCGTGATCAAGTCACACACCGCTCTCTTCGCTATGCTTATGTCACCTTCAAGGATCCGAAAGATGGTGAGTGAATTCTGCGAAATTTTTTTACAGTGTCATCTCTCTTCTGGTTGTTTAGGCTCCACGGCAAAGATATACCGGCATTTGGTACATTTGTTTAGCACCCCAGCTAAGTATGGAGGCATGTTTGAATTGTTCCCCGGGGTTCTTTTAGGCTTGTTTTCATGTCTACAGTGCGGTTGGCTATGCCGGTGTGTTGGTGTGGTCTAGCGGCATGACACGTTTGCAGTATGGCCCATGGCCAGCTGAGGACATGCACGTATGTGGGTTGTTTGTGGAAACTATTTAATTTAGTAGAGAGGTTCCGCACTACGGAAAGTTGTCTACGTAGATAGGGCTCTGATAACGTAGGTACTCCGTAAGTGGATTGGGGTACTTGGTCCGACTTATTAAAATATGCGCTTCGTTTCCGAAGCCTACCAAACAAATTCCAATAATCTCAGGGTGGAATAAACTTCCCAGCTACCTAACAGTGTCCTTCAGTTGTTGATTTGTGATATTGAGGAAGGAATGGCTCGAACTCCAAAGGAGGCAGCGACTCATGCATTTCGCGTTCAAATTTTGTCGCCAGAGGACTCACTGAGACGGGAAACACTGAGAAGGCCTGGTGCTGATATCAAGACCCCAATGCAATGGAGAATTGTCACGGAGTACCAGAAGGTCCTGGGCGGCCGTTCTAGATTCCCTCCTGGCGTATTGAAATCGCTGCAGTCGCTGTTTGCTGGGCAGAATTACAGCAAACGCATCATCCAGAAACTCGTGCAGCAGCACAAGCAGCGCGTCGTCCAGTTTACCGATGTCTCTCGCAGTCGCCCACGATGTGCCGGCCGACGAATCAAGATCGCAGAAGAGATCACCGAGAAGCTGATCGAAATAAACAACCACCCCCGTAGTCGCCTCTCACGCACGAAACTGGCTGGAAAACTGAAACGAACAAAAAGTGAATTATTCTGCGGATACGGTGCGTGGATGGTGCAGAGTTATCGGACCCGCGAGGCGTCATCGTTACATCAAGCCTATGCGAAGGCTTCGTCTCCAGTGACAGTGCACTAGTGCCAGTAGTGGCCCATCGATTCGTGCAATAGAGATGAGCGTGCACGGTCTGACTGTATGACACACCCTGTCAGTATGCGGAACATGGTGGTGAGAAGTGATTTTTTTGCTGCGTGTTGGTCTACCTGTTCGCCTCTTTTGAAGGTATCGTGGGAACGTCGGGTGAAAACCCCTACAGTTACCATTCTGGCAGTTGCACTGCACAAGGAAGAGGCGAAGGCGATCGTCAAAATCGGGCCTATTGATTGAAAAATCAAGGAAGCGCAGGGTAGCTTGAAGGAGAGGAAAAAACTGTCGATGTTTTGCAGAGTGTTGCACTTGCAGATGCGCCCGGAGACACCAGCAACGATGAAAACTAGGTCAGCCCAAGAGATGATACAGTAGTTATCTATCTACCGTCTCTTGATTGATTTTTTAGTTCTGGTGCTCATTTGTACAAACGATTGAGTTTTGAAGTGAAGCGCACATTTTAATAAGTGGGACCAAATGCGAATTTATGACTCTCGACCCGGTCGTACACTGCCGCGTTCCGAGTTGCCAAGGGCAGCTACTTGATTCGAAAACTCCGTATGGCAGAACACAGATCTGCATGCAGTGTACGTAAGACATTCCGTAGATCGACTACGTTTTTTACAAACGTAATTATGTTATGCGGAACCTCTCTAGTATTTGCCCGTCTATACGGTAAGCGCGTGACCTGTCACAGTGAGTGGTCTCTTTCAACAGCACTGGTTGATGATTCGTACACTGGGTTTTATGGCCGACTGTCTTACTGTATAGCATGCATGAAGTCTATGTGAATTGCAGGCCAAGGTCAAACGGCAATCAATGTCCAGGGGAGAATAGTTGCCTGCCTCAGTCACGACTCCAGGATATGCAGTCAGCTCTGTCTTGCCTGCTGGCTTCAGGGCTTGCAATCAGTTTGGATCATTCACGAGAGCTGGACAGGCTGACGAGCCAAGATACTTATGTTTAGCTGAATCATGGTACACACACTCATGTGTCTCATGTTAATGTCAGAGTGGGGAGAGTGTGTGTACTTGTACCAGCATGTCATTGTGGGGTTGGGCTCAGATCTTTTGCTGGGTTTATTCTCGAGTTCGTGGGAGCGCCCACAGCTGTGCATTTATCATGTATGCCTCTTGCTGTTTTTCGCTCCAGCCGAAAAGTGTATGGATGTGCTAAATTTCGAGCCGCTCTTTAATCGCCCAATGCATATCATGTGGTCTCCACGTGATGCCGCACTGCGCCAATCCGGGGGATGTACTAAGGTCTTTATCAAGAACCTGGACAGAGCACTCACTACCAGCAAGGATGTGCATGATGCATTTAGATCTTTCGGAGAGATTGTGTCCTGCAAGGTTGCTTGTGACGACAGCGGCCAGTCCAGAGGGTACGGCTATGTTCACTTCACGGACCGTGAAGCTGCCCAGTCAGCTATTGACAGTGGCGTGCTGGTGAATGACCGCAAGGTGTAAGTATTAGTTATGATCATCACACACCGCAGTGCACTGTCTCCCCAGCTAAAGCCAGTCAGACACCCGATCACAGCACACTGCCACATCATTGTTAGCCCACATGGTGGAGATGCACATGTCCTATATAGCTCTTTGAACTCGTACATGACTGTACAGACTAGTGCACTGCATCTTGGAAGACCAGTATGATATTTGGGAAGAGCAAGGTGTGGGTGGGTGTGTGGGAGGGGGGGGGGGGGGTGGGGGTGTTGTGTGTGTGTGTGTGGGGGGGGAGAGGATGTGTGTGTGTGTGTGTGTGTGTGTGTGTGTGTGTGCGAGGGGGGGGGGGTACACTATGAGAGAATCTGCTAACAGATTTAATTGCTAGTAACAGTGCAGCTTTCTGAGTTGACAGCTGCGCTGGTTGTGAAGAATGCAAATAATTCGGTCTGTGCGGTGAATTCTGTTGGTGTTCACTAGGGTTGCCAGCCGCTTCATGTCACCACGTGAGCATATCGAGAAGCTTGGCAGCACCAGCGTTTACATCAAGAACTTCCCAGATGACATCGATGGTGATGAGAAACTCGAGGCGATGTTCGAATCGTTTGGGAAAATCTTCAGTGCCAAAGTTATGTTCGATGAAAGTGGAAAAGCGCGTGGATTTGGCTTTTGCAATTTCGAGTCTCCGTCTGATGCTGAGAAGGTACTTATGTTGCTAACTGTTTCGTATGTCTCCTCCTGCCATTGAATATTGCTATTGGTGACCTCCATGGCGTGTTTCCAAGGCATAGGAATGTGATCTTTTCCGGTCTTTGCTATTGTTTGTTTACGTGGAAGTATGATGTGAATTTGCACAATAATTCCGTGTGGATTTGAGATGGGCTTTTCCAACTACGACTTGAATTTTGAATTTACACGTACAGTGTTGCTTACTTTATGTGCACTGCAGCTTGTCCCGGTATTGTATTAGTAGCAGTGGTGAGGCTTTGTGCAGCTTCATTCATAGGAAAAAACGGTTTAAGAGCAGACCCGCTCTCTTCCCATTCACTCTGCAAACTCGAACTCGTTTCTCAATCAATTATTAGAACGTTTCGGCAAAATTGCCCTCATCAGACATGCAATGGTGTGCAAGTTTGCAAAGGAGCAGTTATATACATGCAATTAGTGATGCTATGATGTGCTACATCGCACCCACCGTGACGTGCCAGAATCATAAAGATAATGATAACTAAAAGAAGTGTGATGCCAACAACAAACATAGTCAAAGAGGACAATGTGGTGATAAATTCACACAGACACCCACGCACACCTACACACCCATGCACACACACATAAACACACCATTTGACCATTTGACGCCCATCACCGGAGGCGAGGATAGCGATGCTACAGCAGAAGCCATAGCAACTTGTGCTGGGATTGCACCGTTCAACAGCCTGCAAGGCTGAAGAATTGACAGCCACTATTCAGCCTGATCTACACCACACAGCTATGAAATGGCTTGTTCTGGCCAGTGAACCCCTACTTTTTGGTCTTTTTTAATTTTTTTCACGCACACAAATCACACCACATACTCCGTCCGGCATGCACTGGCTGTTGGTAATCACCCAGGAGAATGAAAGGAAAGTCAGGAGGAGTCTGAGAAAGAGAAGAAAGACGTGTGTGACCATAATCGTCGGGAATCGAACCCGCAACCTATCAATTGGAAATCGCTGCACATCATACAGTACCACTGCACCATATGGGACACACACACGTACACACACACACACACATACACACACACACACACACATACACACACACACAATCCAACAAAATATAAGATAATGCACAGTGGTGTATGATGTAGCAAAATTACCAGCTAGTGCCAGATGTCACATCAGTGCCCACATATCAAGAGTGAGTAACTAAACGCACAGTAATATTTTCTAGGTGCGATGTTGAGTAACACTGAGCGCACCGTCATACTCACAGAAGTCCCCAGCCAGGGTTGGTGTTAATTTGTGATCCCAAGTTCCTTATCTCCACAGCTTCTCTCAATTTCCTGCTTGCCCTGTCACCTTCCCTGGCTAATACTGACACATCCTAAAAAACAGTATCCCCCAGCGCCAGTCTCCTTCGGGCATGCTTGGTGCGCATGTGCTCACCCCAGGGCTTGTTGCGGGTACGGCGGCGCGCTTTCCATTAAGCTCCGTCAGTCTAGTTTCTCAATGATCTCAAGGAACTTGGGACCACAAATTGACACCAACCCTGGCTGGGGACTTCTGTTAGTATGACAGTTCGCTCAGTGTTACTCAACATCGCACCTAGAAAATATTACTGTGCGTTGAGTTACTCACTCTTGATATGTGGGCACTGAGGTGACATCTGGCACTAGCTGGTAATTTTGCTACATCATACACCAGTGCACTGTGCATTATCATATTATTTTGTTGGATTGTGCGTGCGTGTGTGTGTGTGTATGTGTGTGTGCATGTAGGTATGTGTGTGTGTGTGTGTGTGTGGGTGTGGGTGTGCGTGGGTGTGTGGGTGTCTGTGTGAAAGCACTTTGAGCTCTGCGTGAATTTATCACCACATTGTCTTCTTTGAAAAAATGTTGTTGGTATCATACTTCTTTTAGTTACTATTATCTTTACGATTCTGGCGCATCACGGTAGGTGCAATGTAGCACATCATAGCATCACAAATTGCATGTATATATGTAGGACTCAGTATAGAGTCCATGCACTATATGATGTCCACCACCCTATATGGAGTCCATTGGTCCAAAATCCACTATACAGAGTCCAGGAGTCCACTCAGTTTTGATCAGCTTCATCCTGCCGCGCAATCCCCTATAAGGAGTACACTTTTTCTACAAGTCCCCTATTCACGGTCCAGGAGTCCAGTTTATCCAGTCACGCCGTCCTGTGTGTTGTGCCCGAAAGAAGAGAACAGACACCTTTTCAGTTTTGCTTGCCTCATGGCAGCGCATTCCTTGCTTTACTTCAGCCATGGCTGCCAGTTCTGCTGTGTAGTTGCTGACAGTAATCTGTCTCGAGGTAACCAAGGAGGATAAGGAGACGTTCAAAATCAAATCTGGAAAGCGTCTTGTGGTTCTCTGAAGACGTTTCAACGATGCGCGGGATGAAAGCAGAAATTGCAGAACGAGAAAAGTTCAGCACAGTTCAAATCTGACGAGTCAGGTACACTGACACTCTCTTTCGTTCGACGCCACAAGGATCCCCCGTCTGGCTGGCCATTGCTGCCAGTAAGGCGTTTGAACGGTTTCATCAGAGCGAGGGATGAAAGCAGAAAGCGGAGAACGAGAAAAGTTCAGCACAGTTCCAATCTGACGAGTCAGGTACACTGACACTCTCTTTCGATCGACGCCACAAGGATACCCTGTTTGACTGGACAAGAGCTGCCTGTACCACCGTGTCAAAAGGCTGTCCAACTACATGGCAGGACGATGACTGAGGTAAGGAAGCTTTTCTCGTTTCGATTGGTCTGCTGTTCTGTCGTTATGCTTGAATTTTTTCCATTTTCAAGGATCGTATCGCGTTTGTTTGATGTTGCTTGAATGAATGCCCTAAAAGTAATCAACCACTTCGTAATAGTCCTCAAGGACTGCAAGGACTTTGCATCAATCGTATACGATCGTATAGCTATCATCAATTATTATTTTATTTCATGAGAAATGTATTTTTATCCCTGTGATAATTATGTGAACTCCACGACACTCTTCCTCTACTAGGCTCTAGTATGATGTCAAAATGCAATGGGATCCACAAACGCAGTGCCAGTGTACTAGTAGTAGTAGGAGGAGGAGGATTTCTTGTATGCCGATGACAAGAAAAAGCCTCTCAAGCTAATACCAAGAGTACATAACCCCCCAGAGTGTGCAACTCCACTATGGGTGCTGTCCCGACAGAATTTCAAGTTGACGTCATTTTGATGATGCAATGCGCACTGTACACGGATTATCAGACGAATCCGGAACCTGTGGTTGACCGAAGCCGATCGGTCCTGTACAAATTATTGCAAAGAAAAACGTGTGATGCGTTGACACCCGTACACATGTTGTAAATCACTGCTGCAAGGAGCATTGCGTCATAAATAATGACGTCAACTTGAAATTCTGTCGGGACAACAGGGTATGTGGGAGTTGCACACTCTGGGGGGTTATGTACTCTTGCTAATACATGTACTCGTATTCCATGAAGTAACCGTTTTGATGTCACAAACATGACATTGTGTCAGTGAAACTGCCTCGTGACAACAAATCATTGCATTTCCATCTTGGGGAAGACTGACTGACTGCAACGCTGTACAGATTGTTTAAATCATCTCATTTCAATTTAGTTGCAGTGAAGTGAAACACTGTGTACACTACATGTATGGCGGTGTGTCTGTGCGTCTTGAGTGTGCACAAACGATCTTATTCCTCGTATTACTAATAGATTATTGTCCCCACCGTCACCTGTTCACAGGTCTTTGTGTGGATGGATTTTCATTGAGCATCACATTCGTTGAGAACTTGGTAGTTGTGTGCTCCCATGCATCATTACGGTAATAAGCGTATCCTTGTGCTATCTATTTGTTGCAGGTGTGCTGATCTTCAGAAGCTTGCGGAACTGAGTGCTGCTGAACATTTGCATGGCCATGAGCAATGGTGAAGCTTGCTATTGCACTCTCAGCATGTGCTAGTATTATGCTGACTACTGCACTATGTTATTCTCTTACACTACTACATGTATGTAAACGTGCGTGCATCCGCCCACGTATGCATTCGGTTCGTATAATTATTTGTTATTCCTCTTGACTTTACGTGTAAATGGGTGGACGTTTGCATGGCTGTTGGAGTTGCGTGTGTATTGTGTCTCTACTCTTTTCTTGGTGTTTTCTTGGCGTTGTATAAATTTGTGTGTGTGTGTGCGTGCGTGTGTGTGCGTGCGTGTGTGTGTGTGCGCGCGCGCACAATAATTTGAAAACAAATAATTAATCCTTGGCTCTCCATTATTCTCTTTCGATTATTGGTTTTTTCTAGGTATTTTCTTGGCGTTGTGTGGGTGTGTGCATGTGTGTGTGTGCGTGCACAATAATTTGGCAACACTACCTAATTGAGATATTGTAATTTGCAGCGTCTGCGAAGAGACCACTTGATTTGAGGATGGTGTTTGTAGGGTTTTTTCATGTAATGAAATGGCTGCAGCGGCGCCTCAATACTTATTTTATATCTTGAGAAGTAAATGATGTAAAGGATTAAAGGGAGAGGCCGTTTTCTGGTTAATATTCACTGCTTACAGCAGATCCTATGTCTAATTTCGAACTCTGGATAGGGGATGCCTAATTGGCTGGACTTTATACAGGGAGTGTTGTCCACATAAAGACTCCTTATAGTTGATTTCAAAGTTTGGACTCCATACAGTTGATTTTGGACCAATGGACTCTATATAGGGGTGAAGCCAATTGGCTGGACTCTATACAGGGAGTGATGTCCATCTAAACTTTGAGCTCACAGTTGATTCCAAGTTTGGACTCTGTACAGTGGATTTTGGACCAATGGACTCTATATAGGGGTTGGACATCATATAGGGGCTGGACGCTCTACTGAGTCCAACATATAACTGTTCCTTTGCAAACTTGCACACCATTGCATACCTGATGAGAAATGTTGTGATAGTTGAGTGAGAAACGAGTTTGAGTTTGCAGTGGGAAGAGAGCGGGTCTGCTCTTAAACCTTTTTCCTGTTGTATTGACTGATTGTTTAGGCTATTCGTGAGATGAACGGAAAACCCATGGGCGGAGGAAAGAATCTGCATGTTGAACGGCATGTGAAGAGGGACGGGAAGCCGAAAGACCAGCGCGGTAAAACCTACCCTGGTGTCAACCTTTACGTTAAGAACATCGATGACACCATTGACGATGATCGCCTGGAGAAGGAGTTCTCTTCCTATGGAAGTATCACCTCTGTCAAGGTATGCGGTTGTGCCGTTCTTTTTCAGTGTTGTTTGAACCAATCCACTTGCGCTGCTGCATCGTGTGCTGTATTGCGTCCTGAAGCCACACAACCACATGTGCTAATCATCATACAGCAGCAAATGTCTGCTGATCGCTGAAATGCGTGATACTTAAATTTACAGCTACACAATCTTTCGCCTCTGTTGTGTGTGTGACCACGTGCGCTAGTAATCCGCTGCAGCAGAACTTCACTTGCGGCGTATACCTCAGATGTGAACTTCACTCGCAATGTATACCACAGATGTGCCCACAGAATGCAGCAGCCATCCGTTGAAATGCCATGAACCTGACATCATTTTGCAGCCTTGGTGTTTGGCTTGACCAGTCGGTCATCACCCACTTTGATACCCGAATTGACATGAGCCGACTGACTATGCATGTGCTGCCTTTAATTCCATGATTCTTGTACAGGTCATGAGGGATGATAGGGGACATAGCAAAGGATTCGGCTTTGTCTGTTTCGCTAGTTCCGAGGACGCTGGCAAGGCGTTGCGGGAAATGAGTGGGAAAATGATCGGTACTAAGCCACTGTACGTTGCCCTTGCTCAACGCAAGGAGGACCGACAGGCTCAGTTATCCCAACAGTACACGCATGCACCACCGGCAATGCTTATGCAGCAGCCACCTCAGCAACCACCTCAGCAGCAGCAACAGGTATGTTCTAGATTAGTGTCGGCATCGGTCGGTCATCCGTATAAGAGTTGAACGGTATAACTCTGCTGTCTAAAATTGTTGTCTTGATTTCGGCTTCACAATTCAGCGTGCCGCTCCTGTAGCTATAGCGTTCATGATGGATGTTGTTGGTACATGCACGTCTATTTGGGCTCTGGGTTCCGGTACTCAGTTACATGGGTAGACTGATAAAGTATGCACACGCGTATCCCAGGGATCACTTCAAGGTACCAGCACGTGGGCGTGCAACCAGCTTACTTGCAGATTCACATGTTTGTTTCTTATTCTTTCCTTCTAGCAGTCGACACGATACCGACCCTGTCACTAAGCAGGTATATTCTGCGGCAGTCGTGCGATAATAACAATTGTTGGGTAGTGGGATGGCTGATGGATGTTTTGCCTTACCCATACCGTAAAATCCCGCCAGAGCGCCCCTACCTCCGCCACCTTTTGAGTAGGTCCAGGCGGGGAGGGGCAGATGGGCGAGTCCTACTTGCCGCATTCAGTACTACATGAAAAAGTACTCACCCTACGAAAACTGTCCGTGCACCTCGTACACCGCCCAAAGGTCAAGAGCAGGGAGTCGTACAGACCCATCAACACTCAGGGTTTGTGCGATCCCTGGTCAAGAGGGTGGGCACTGTTGCGTGCATTTCCAACAGGGTCGGGCACGCGTATGCAGTACAGTACGACTCATACGACATCACAGAGGATACAATCAATCATTTCCCTGACAAGAAGTCAGGGAGGGGCGGATGGGAGAGACAGGGCGTTCTGGTGGGATTTTACGGTACTTCCAATATGAATTCATGACGCTGACATGGACCCGGCTTCAATTTTAGCAACATGCATACAGTGCCTCCCCCCCCCCCCCCCACCACGAATCCTTTCTGTCTTAAATTTACAATTCCGTTGCCAACATTTTGTGAAATTTTGATGTCCGCCGTCTTTGTGGTGGTAGACCGGTTACTGGGTAACCATAAGGCCAAATCCACTTACGTCCTATTGTGTGCAGGCTGCCGGTCAGCAGATGCCGGTGTTCCAGCCTCAAGTCTACTATCCCATGCCACCGCCACCACCGCAGGCAGCAGCAGCAGCAGCTACAGCAGCTGTAAGTCATCTTTTAACTTACAATTTGTGACTTGGGGCGTGGTGTGTGTGTGTGTGGGGGGGGGGTCATAATCACATAATCAGAAGCATCCTCATTGCTGGGTGCATGCATATGCATGAACAGTGCAAAGAATCCAGGCACAAGTGAGTAACACAAAGGCTACGTACACCATGCAGACTATAGTCCATTCATTCGAGACTTTTTTCTCTTTTTTTTTGCTTTGCTTTAGCACCCGCGAGCTCCCTTCATGCCTCGACCGTCTGGCATGCAACCGCCGCCACCGCAGGGCAGGTTCCAGCAGATGAGGCCACCCAGCCAGAACCCACACGGGATGATGCCACCGGCGGGTGCCTATGGCGCCAATGCTGCTAGCAACGTGCACTATTGGCCGCAGGCCAGTCATCCCCAGGGACAGGCGGCGGCCGCGGCGTATCCTGCTGGTGCTGTGCCTGCAGCCGGTCACATTGGCGCGGGGGGTGCTGTCTCCACAGCTGCTCGGTCCAGCTCCAACGCTGAACACTTCAATGGACTGTTGTATCCACCTCATCCACGTGGTGGCCCAGCCCGGGGTCATCAGTACCGGTAACCCAAATGTGGAAGCTGCTGCTTTGCAGAGAGTGTGCATCTCCGGTTTTCTTCAAGCGTAAGCTGGCCCCGGAAAGCAAGCAGCGGACAAGATCACTGGGCACTCTTGACGGTAGACCATGCAGAGATTGCGTGCGCAGGACCAACTTAAATTCTCTTCCAGCTGATAGTGGCTCTGAAAACACGTCTGTGTTGCGGACGCCATACCAGCAGATTGTGGAGATCAGTACATGCAACCCTGGAGAGGAGGTGATTGTCACCGCCATCTTCTTTACTGACACCAGATTGTGTGTCCAACTGTTTATGGTTCTTGTACACTGTGGCTCACCAATAACATGGGCGCGTGATGTCAACATGGATACTGGAAAGACTTACCTAGTTAGGTTGTCTCGGTTACAACTAGCAAGTCCGATGGAAATTACGATTGCTTCTGTTGCTGGAGAATCGTAAATGCACTACTCCTGACAATCAAAAATATACTTGAAAAAAAATGTTAGTCACGGAACAAAGTTCATTTTTGTAGAGTCTGGTTACTGCGTATGTAGGACTGTTGCTACTGTAGAGCTTGAGTGGAATTCCACATTAATATATACAAGTACATGCAATTGTCGTCTTGGAAATGGCTGGGGGTGCTGCACCCATTCTTCGTGTGTCCCCAAAGCCGTCTGCACCCATTCTTCGTGTGTCCCCAAAGCCGTCTGCACCCATTCTCCGTGTGTCCCCAAAGCTGTCTGCACCCATTCTTCGTGTGTCCCCAAAGCCGTCTGCACCCATTCTCCATGTGTCCCCAAAGCCGTCACGCACTAACTAAACACACTGATGTGTGCAGCTCGTAATACAAACTTCGTCCCGCGGTAACGTGGAATGGCAGAGCTTTGGGTATTGTAAATAGAAGTTGAAAAAATTCCACGTGTAGACAAGAATCATAAGATCGAGATCAAGAGTGTGGTGCGTAACGTGGAATGTCAGAGCTTTGGGTATTGCAAATAGAAGTTGAAAAAATTCGATGGGTAGACAAGAATGAAAAGATCGAGATCAAGAGTGTGCTCGGTGCAGTCATTCGACACAATCCCAACAGTTATCAGAGTAGATAATTATAGGGGTTGTATTTCCAGAACAAAAGTTAGTTCTCATGGGACATTGTTCAGTGGAATTGCCGTCACTGACGGACTTTCAGGAACATAATTTAGTGGATTGCTGTATAGGGTATATAGAGAGTTTTAATCATCAGGAAGAATGCATAGTGCATATAATCATCTCATGCAATCCCTTCCAGCAGATGCTGCTTTTCAGTTGCACTTTCGACCGGTAGTACAAGCGGCCAAGTCTTTCTGGGAGATGTTTTTAGAATACACACTTCAGTAGATACTTCTCTCTCTAGTGTGCTTCCCATAATTGTTACTGTCTTGCAGTCTTTATGAATTTTTCTTCCTCTTCTCTTTCTTTAGGGGCTGTCTAGTTGCTTTTTCAAAACGAAAAGTATTCCGTTGGGGTGGGTGAGTTTTAGGAGTTAGGTTTTGAAATCGGAGAATGTTCCGGTGCTACTGGGTGCCGAAGATTGCAGTCAATGTTTTGTTGGAATTCGTTTCAACCCCCCCCCCCCCTTCAGAAAGGTTGAGTGTGAGTTGAATAATACTACAGTGTTTCGTTAGAAAAAAATCCGGAACCCCACCCCAGACGGCCACTTATTCAATATCCCTTTTGTTAGGCAAAGCGGCGGGCCAGTGCCTGTTTGTTCATATGATATGAGTCTCTGAGTGTAGAAGAAATATATACTATAAATTATACTAGCAGTATTGTTGGCCAACATAGGCCGCAAGATCCGCAGGGTACACCAAAGTGAAGGAAGAGCTTGAACAAATGGCAAGGCGAGAGAAAAGTTCGAAAAGAGAGGGCCAACGGTTTACAAGTCGGTATCCGTTTTTGTCCAACACTCAACAACTATAATGCATGATACTGGTGGGTCAGAAAAACATGCAACAATTCGCACAATTCCTACCTTAGAACCTTCCAAGTTTGAATTCTGTCGGTTTGCGCATTCCAAGGCGTGATGCAGCCAAACATTAGGTTGTTGAATGTCAGTATCCGAGACATCAGTCAAACCGGTACGTGCTAATTATTATTATTGCATGTTCTGACTCACCAGTATCATGCTTTACCATGCTTTTAAAATTGCTAGTGTTGGACAAAACGGGTTAATCCTAGGCTCTCCATCGGAGCCGGACAGAGAAATCATAATGGAAAGCAGCAGCATGAACTGAATCAGCATTGGTTTAAAAAGAAAGTCTCTCTGTTTTGATCGTGCATTCCCTGTAGGTAGTATCATTGTCGGTAATCGCAGTTATGTGGGGAGATCATGCGCTCCTGGGAACTTTACCTAGGCCCAATGCATAGCCGCACGGAAGTGCACAGCTTGATGTTCAAGAAACCTAGTCTGCCGTGTTGACCTATTTACATTTTTTAGTTTGAAGGCCAAAGACAAGGAAACTGGTAGTAGCAGTTCACAGCAGATAGTGCAGGAATCAATTACGTGGATATAGCTTGTAATCCTCATAATAATAATTAGAACTTTGGCTCTGACTGCCAGTGTCTGGGGTGTGCTCGGCTCCTCAGAAGAAGAAGAACGCTTGGACTAGTTCCATGTCAGCACAGCTACGCTATGCCGTCTTCGCGAATTCGGAGGCTTGGTGTGCTTGATCTCGGTGTGTCCGGCGTTGCGATAGACCTCGCCAGCTATAGAATGGTCTATTTTATCCAGTCCCTGTTGCCATAGAACAAAGCAGCACACATCGGAAATTGTTTATTGGAAGTACAGTACTTATTGTCAATCTAACAAGGTTTATCTAATACTAGTTTTGAACTAGTAATATTACCAGTATTGGGTTATATATTACCAAGTACAGTACTGTATAGTAGCATTCACTGCACACCTCTAAGTTTGTAGCTCTTAAATTTCATGTCAATCTGTGGACAGAACAGTTTGGTCCTTTGTGCATTCGTCTCACTGCGGCAGCACATAAAAATGCCCCCCACCCACACACGAACACATTGCAGTCCGTCCTTCCGTGGCACGAGCTAGGATGGCATGCTGCACCTGCAAAATGTGCAAATCCCTTGGATGGCTGCTATGGAAATAGTTCGCTCTACAACATTTGTTTCTCCAATACTATGCGCTGAACCTGGTCTTGAGCAAAGCACACGCCGTGTTACACGTGGCCAGGTCTCACGTCTTCTCCAAATTCCATTCGTTCGTGGACCAGCATCTCGAGCGTCCATGCAATTCGTGGGCAGCGTGTATTGGAACAGGCTTCCAGCAAATATTCGTAGCCATGAAGATATTCTGGGTTTCAAAGCCCTGCTGTGCCCAGATGTTCTTGACACGCTTTCTCTGTCTTGACTCATTCGTCAGACATGTGCATTTTGATCTTTTGGTTTGGTCTCTAATCGACAAACTGACTTTTCTCCTCAAATACCTCAACTTCTTTATTTCTATTTCATACATCTGCTTCGTTTATTCCTTACTCTTTTCTTTATATCTTTTTCTTTTCTTTCCCTTGTCATTTAATCACTGCCACTCACATACAAATACCGTCATAAAATATAAAACACAAGATTTTCTCATCTTTTTTCTATTTCTTGTTTTTCATTAGCTTTAGCATGTTCATTCACATTCTTCATCATTTGTGAGAACTAGACCTGGTCTAGTGAGAAGGCATTCTACTGCCTGTAATTCTGGTGAAGTAAAATAAAGTAACAACAACAACAACAACTATAAACAGGGAAGCTGTTGCGCTAGTTTTACTTTTAACAATTTGCAAGCACAGACCAAGTTGCACCTCCGTGGAAATGTTTGCGTTTGGAGTCCATATGATTTTTTTAAGCTACAGTTCTACGCTTTGCTCTAGCTCATTTTTCCGATTTCACACTCTTCGCGAAAATCATGAACGTCTCCAGATCACAAACTGGCTTTCTGGTTTAGAGAGTATCCCGGCCTACACAGTATCCCGGCCTATACAGTATCCCGGCCTATACAGTATCCCTGTCTATACAGTACCCCTGCCTATACAGTATCCCTGCCTACACAGTATCCCGGCCTATACAGTATCCCGGCCTATACAGTATACCGGCCTATACAGTATCCCTGTCTATACAGTATCCCGGCCTATACAGTATACCGGCCTATACAGTATCCCTGTCTATACAGTACCCCTGCCTATACAGTATCCCTGCCTATACAGTATCCCGGCCTATACAGTATCCCTGTCTATACAGTATCCCTGCCTATACAGTATCCCGGTCTATACAGTATCCCGGCCTATACAGTATCCCTGTCTATACAGTACCCCTGCCTATACCTCAGGCGGCATGTTGGCATCGTGTTCTTTGACCTAGCGAAAGCTTTCGACACCGTCTGGCATCGTGGTCTGCTTGCAAAGCTAGAGTCCGTCTTCTTGGTACACGGTCCAGCCCTGCAATGGCTCTCATCCTATCTTTCCTGCCGCCACCAGACTGTCAGAGTATCTACCTCCCTATCAGACCCATTACTAGTCGTGTCTGGGGTACCCCAGGGGTCCATACTTGGGCCGCTCCTATTTCTACTGTACGTTAATGACTTGCCAGCCCTTGTACCAAATGTAAGTCTTTTTGCTGACGACACTGCTCTGATGTGCTCCGACAGCTCGGCAGACAACCTCACGGCCTCCATGCAGTCCGGGGTCAACGCTACAGTAACATGGATGGAAACCTGGAAACTGAAGCCTAACCTCGCCAAAACCGAGGCCATGTTCTTCTCTCCCTCGCCCCCCACTCAACTTCTGTATTTTCCTGGTCTAAATAGTACACCTATTAAAGTTGTTAACGAGCACAAGCACCTGGGCGTTATTCTCGACCGCCAACTCTCCTGGTCTCCACAAGTCCAGTCTGTGTGCAAGCGTGCGAGTGCGTCGTTAGGTATGCTACAACCCCACTGCCAACACTTGAATGATAACTGCAGAGAATTGTTCTTTAAGTCGTACATTTTGCCTATATTTGACTATTGCGATATAGCTTGGTGCGGGTTGTCTCAGACTTTACTCCACAGACTGGAGGTACATCAACGCTTGCTTCTGAAAATTCTGTTTCGAAAAGACCAAACATTTGCCTCCCTTTGTCTTTATAAACTTGCTTCCACGCACCCTCTTCTTGCCCGACATCAGCAGCATCTTTGTATCCTTGTGCAAAAAATCTTCCTAGCCCAAGTCCCGAAACATATTGCCAAGTACAACTGGTTTGTTACCACTAGACCAACACGCAATGCCTTATCACTGCCCCGAGCTAGTTCCTCTCTGTTTTTGAAATCCCCTTTCTTCTCAGCATACTCCCTTTGGTCTAACCTGCCTACTAGCATTAAGACATGCCAAGATATCAGGAAATTCACAGTCCAGCTTTCCACACTGTCTCATCCGAAGTGATCCCATGTATTATTAATGTGCCTCCCTTTCTTTTTCTCTCCCTATCTCCTTTCCCTCTCTGACAGCATCTTTCTTTTTTTTCCCTTTTTAGCTTGCCGTGGTTGGCTATCACCTGACCTCTCATGTTTATTGGCAGTCTTCGGACGGGCCAGGAGATGTTGAATAAATAAATAAATATACAGTATCCATGTCTATACAGTATCCCGGCCTATACAGTATCCCTGCCTACACAGTATCCCTGTCTATACAGTATCCCTGCCTATACAGTATCCCTGTCTATACAGTATCCCGGCCTATACAGTATACCGGCCTATACAGTATCCCTATCTATACAGTACCCCTGCCTATACAGTATCCCTGCCTATACAGTATCCCTGTCTATACAGTATCCCGGCCTATACAGTATCCCGGCCTATACAGTATCCCGGCCTATACAGTATCCCTGCCTATACAGTATCCCGGCCTATACAGTATCCCGGCCTACTGTAAAAGCAGAAATTTTCGGTGGTGTAATATTTTCGGTATTCACCAAAATCGGCGGTTCGGTAGAGAGAAATTTTCGGTAAAACCCGTTTTCCAGGTAGATGTACTAGTACTAAATGTATACAGTACCGGTTGTACCGAAATTTTCGGTGCGTTTTATTTTCGGTAGAAATTGTCGACACCGAAGTTACCGAAAATAAAACACCACCAAAAATTTCTGCTTTTACAGTATACAGTATCCCTGCCTATACAGTATCCCTGTCTATACAGTATCCCGGCCTATACAGTATCCCGGCCTACACAGTATCCCGGCCTACACAGTATCCCGGCCTATACAGTATCCCTGTCTACACAGTATCCCTGCCTATAGAGTATCCCGGCCTATACAGTATCCCTGTCTATACAGTATCCCGGCCTATACATGTACCTTTTTTCCATGGTCAAAGCCGAGCTCCTGCTCCCATCGCACCATTGCTGCCGGCCTGTAGTTGGTGATGAATCCGCGCCGCGTCGTCTTGCTGCTGTTGCCGCGGGAGTAGTGCAGCGTGCGGCCATGGTGCATCGTGCACGAGCCTGGCGAGAGTGGCTGCGGCACCCCCTCATCCTGTATCAATCCACCAACAACAATAATTGGATGTGAACTGTAATCGTGAACAAACACATGTTTGCTAGCATACCAACGGGCATCACCCTTTGGGTGTGGGAATGTGATAAATATGAGGAAACTAGATCCAGATACAACCCAAAACGACCCACTCACGCACGCACATGCACACACGCTCATGCACACACATGCACACGTACACCACACACACACACACACACACACACACACACACACACACACACACACACACACACACACACACACACACACACACACACACACACCCACACCTTGACCTTTGACGCCCATCGCCGGAGGCGATGATAGCAATGCTACGGCAGAAGCCATAGCAACTTGTGCTGGGATTGCACCATTCAACAGCTTGCAAGGCTGAAGAATTGACCGTCACTATTCAGCCTGGTCTACACCATACAGCTATTTGAAGTGACTTTTTCTGGCCAGTGAATCCCTATTTTTGGTCTTTTTCTTTTTTCTTTTTTTTTCTTTTTTTTCCCACACACACATCACACCACATACTCCGGCATGCACTGGCTGTTGGTAACCACCCAGGAGAATGAAAGAAAAGTCAGGAAGAGTCTGAGAAAGAGAAGAAAGACGTGTGTGACCATAATCGTCGGGAATCGAACCCGCAAGTTGGCGCAACCTATCGATTGGAAATCGCTGCACATACCACTGCACCATATGGGACACACACACACACACACACACACACACACACACACACACATACACACACACACACACACACACACCTCAGACCTCAGACCTCAGACCTCAGACCTCAGACCTGCCCATCGCGGAAGCGATGATAGCGAACAGCTACATGTATGTTAGACATAGAAACTTGTGCTGGACATGGGATTACACGGTGTACTAAGGTCTTCATCAAGAACCTGGACAGAGTAGTCACTACCAGCAAGGATGTGCATGATGCATTTAGATCTTTCGGAGAGATTGTATCCTGCAAGGTTGCTTGTGACGACAGCGGCCAGTCCAGAGGGTACGGCTATGTTCACTTCACGGACCGTGAAGCTGCCCAGTCAGCTATTGACAGTGGCGTGCTGGTGAATGACCGCAAGGTGTAAGTATTAGTTATGATCATCACACACCGCAGTGCACTGTCTCCCCAGCTAAAGCCAGTCAGACACCCGATCACAGCACACTGCCACATCATTGTTAGCCCACATGGTGGAGATGCACATGTCCTATAGCTCTTTGAACTCGTACATGACTGTACAGACTAGTGCACTGCATCTTGGAAGACCAGCAGTATGATATTTGGGAAGAGCAAGGTGTGGGTGTGTGTGTGGGAGGGGGGGGGGGTGTGGGGGTGTTGTGTGTGTGTGGGGGGGGGGGGGGGGAGAGGATGTGTGTGGGGGTGTGTGTGTGTGTGTGTGTGTGTGTGTGTGTGTGTGTGTGTGTGTGTGTGTGTGTGTGTGCATATGGTGCAGTGGTACATGTATGTGCAGCGATTTCCAATCGATAGGTTGCGGGTTCAATTCCCGACGATTATGGTCACACACGTCTTTCTTCTCTTTCTCAGACTCTTCCTGACTTTTCTTTCATTCTCCTGGGTGGTTACCAACAGCCAGTGTATGCCGGAGTATGTGGTGTGGTGTGTGTGTAGAAAAAGAAAAAAAAGAAAAAAAGAAAAAAATGGAAAAATGAAAAATAGGGATTCACTGGCCAGAAAAAGTCACTTCAAACAGCTGTGTGGTGGATACCAGGCTAAAAATAGTGGCGGTCAATTCATCAGCCTTGCAAGCTGTTGAATGGTGTAATCCCAGCACAAGTAACTTAGTTGCTATGTCTAAAAAAACATAGCTGTTCGCTATCATCGCTCCCGCGATGGGCATGTCTGAGGTCTGAGGTGTGTGCGAGGGGGGGGGGGGGGTACACTAGTATGAGAGAATCTGCTAACAGATTTAATTGCTAGTATTATTATTATTATTATTATTAGTACTAGTAACAGTGCAGCTTTCTGAGTTGACAGCTGCGCTGGTTGTGAAGAATGCAAATTCGGTCTGTGCGGTGAATTCTGTTGGTGTTCACTAGGGTTGCCAGCCGCTTCATGTCACCACGTGAGCATATCGAGAAGCTTGGCAGCACCAGCGTTTACATCAAGAACTTCCCAGATGACATCGATGGTGATGAGAAACTCGAGGCGATGTTCGAATCGTTTGGGAAAATCTTCAGTGCCAAAGGTATGTTCGATGAAAGTGGAAAAGCGCGTGGATTTGGCTTTTGCAATTTCGAGTCTCCGTCTGATGCTGAGAAGGTACTTATGTTGCTAACTGTTTCGTATGTCTCCTCCTGCCATTGAATATTGCTATTGGTGACCTCCATGGCGTGTTTCCAAGGCATAGGAATGTGAACTTTTCCGGTCTTTGCTATTGTTTGTTTACGTGGAAGTATGATGTGAATTTGCACAATAATTCCGTGTGGATTTGAGGTGGGCTTTTCCAACTACGACTTGAATTTTGAATTTACACGTACAGTGTTGCTTACTTTATGTGCACTGCAGCTTGTCCCGGTATTGTATTAGTAGCAGTGGTGAGGCTTTGTGCAGCTTCATTCATAGGAGAAAACGGTTTAAGAGCAGACCCGCTCTCTTCCCATTCACTCTGCAAACTCGAACTCGTTTCTCAATCATTAGAACGTTTCGGCAAAATTGCCCTCATCAGGTATGCAATGGTGTGCAAGTTTGCAAAGGAGCAGTTAGGGCCGAAACGATTGCCCATTTTGCCTTAAAACGATTAGCCAATAACACTAACGATCGATTTATTGGTTTTACCGATTTTCCGAACAAGTTTTATATGTGTCATGTTGGACATCAGTATACCGCAAAAACAAAATATTTGTTCAACTATGTACAGGTACGTACGGGTGAAAGATCCACACAGGCCCAAAAAAGACCAAAATGAAATTTGCAACGTGATATGAGCAGTGTTCCTCTGCCATTAGGCATGAACGATCAGTCCTCTGTCTTCTACAATGGAGAAGGGTCGACTGGAATCGACAATCCAGTCGATGATCGACTCCGTCAACATGCCTGAGCGCCTGCTGTCGCACGTTCGCAAGTAATAGTTACCTGTGCTGAAGAACGACGTGACGGGCTTCGTTCCAGCACTGGTCGTCGCATTGTCACTGCGCTCAACATTGCTGGTAGTCGTCGTTCCTGTCGACTGGGTTGCTGATCCTTTCCCTACCGCAGCGGCGTACAGGTCTTTATGAGCAGAAATCAGGTGCTAGAACAAGTTGGTTGTGCCGCTTTGACGGACGAACTCGCGGCTGCACAAATTGCATCTCACTACGCTATCAGCTTCCTCGAAATATGCCCAAGCTGGCGATCTCTTGGTCCAACTAACTTTCGCTTTTACAGGCGGCAGCATTGTCACTGCTCTCCTCGCTAAAAGTAAAAAATCAAAAGTACCGTACTGGCAATATATGTTGCCGCGTAACGCGTAACGCAGGGGGTGCGGCGTAACGCGCGACCAGGCTAGTGCGACAAATTTTCGTTGAGTTCGTAACGCGCGTCCGGCGGGGTGCGGCGATCTTTTCATTGCAGTTTGCACTGCACAAGAAAAATGATGCGGCAAAAGCAAAAAAATGATGCGGCAATAGCAAAAAAGTGATGCGGCAATAGCAAAAAAAGGACTGCGGCAATATAGAAACCTGTGTAACGGCTCCTGTGCGACTTTGCATGTAACGCCCTGCGTGCGGCAAACATGTGCCAATGTAACGCTTCATGGCCTCACTGCGGCAACATATATTGCCAGTACGGTAACTAAGTTTTTGACAAGAACTGAACAAAATAGAAGGCCGGCAGCCATACTCACAGTTTCGCTACAACCTAAAATTATGAAGCTTTCCGGTTGATACTTTCCGGCTACGCTGACTAGTGCAGTGAATGCGCGGAGTGTACGACTACAAGTACAAGTACAGTACCCAAAACTTGGCAAAAGGATCAAGAGCTAGCGCGCAATGATCATGATGATTGTACGGACCTACAGCTTCATGCACGTGTACTTCGACGTTCATGTACTTGTGCGCATGACGCGCGTGCATGATGCCATGCATGGTCTTCATGTACTGACGTCGTGACCGCTCTCGCACTGTACAGTCATAATCGTTATGGATCATGACGATTATCGATTTCATCCATAACGAGTGATATACGAGTAATCGGTATAATCGTTTCGGCCCTAGTTCTATACATGCAATTAGTTATGCTATGATGTGCTACATTGCACCCACCGTGACGTGCCAGAATCATAAAGATAATGATCACTAAAAGAAGTATGACACCAACAACAATTGTTCAAAGAGGACAATGTGGTGATAAATTCACACAGACACCCACGCCTACACACCCATGCACACACACATAAACACACCATTTGATCATTTGACGCCCATCACCGGAGGCGAGGATAGCAGCAGAAGCCATAGCAACTTGTGCTGGGATTGCACCGTTCAACAGCTTGCAAGGCTGAAGAATTGACAGCCACTATTCAGCCTCATCTACACCACACAGCTATGAAATGGCTTGTTCTGGCCAGTGAACCCCTACTTTTTGGTCTTTTTTAATTTTTTTCACGCACACAAATCACACCACATACTCCGTCCGGCATGCACTGGCTGTTGGTAACCACCCAGGAGAATGAAAGGAAAGTCAGGAGGAGTCTGAGAAAGAGAAGAAAGACGTGTGTGACCATAATCGTCGGGAATCGAACCCGCAACCTATCAATTGGAAATCGCTGCACATACCACTGCACCATATGGGACACACACACGTACACACACACACACACACACATACACACACACACACACACACACACACACACACACACACAATCCAACAAAATAATATGATAATGTACAGTGCACTGGTGTATGATGTTGCAAAAATACCAGCTAGTGTCAGATGTCACATCAGTGCCCACATATCAAGAGTGAGTAACTCAACGCACAGTAATATTTTCTAGGTGCAATGTTGAGTAACACTGAGCGAACTGTCATACTCACAGAAGTCCCCAGCCAGGGTTGGTGTTAATTTGTGATCCCAAGTTCCTTATCTCCACAGCTTCCCTCAATTTCCTGCTTGCCCTGTCACCTTCCCTGGCTAATACTGACACATCCACAAAAACAGTATCCCCCAGCGCCAGTCTCCTTCGGGCATGCTTGGTGCGCATGTGCTCACCCCAGGGCTTGTCGCGGGTACGGCGGCGCGCTTTCCATTTAGCTCCGTCAGTCTAGTTTCTCAATGATCTCAAGGAACTTGGGACCACAAATTGACACCAACCCTGGCTGGGGACTTCTGTGAGTATGACAGTTCACTCAGTGTTACTCAACATTGCACCTAGAAAATATTACTGTGCGTTGAGTTACTCACTCTTGATATGTGGGCACTGAGGTGACATCTAGCACTAGCTGGTATTTTTGCTACATCATACACCAGTGCACTGTACATTATCTTATATTTTGTTGGATTGTGTGTGTGTGTGTGTGTGTGTGTGTGTGTGTGTGTGTGTGTGTGTGTGTGTGTGCATGTAGGTATGTGTGTGTGTGTGTGTGTGTGTGTGTGTGTGTGTGTGTGTGTGTGTGTGTGTGTGTGTGTGTGTGCATGGGTGTGTGGGTATGCGTGGGTGTCTGTGTGAAAGCACTTTGAGCTCTGCGTGAATTTATCACCACATTGTCTTCTTTGAAAAAATGTTGTTGGTATCATACTTCTTTTAGTTACTATTATCTTTACGATTCTGGCGCATCACGGTAGGTGCAATGTAGCACATCATAGCATCACAAATTGCATGTATATAACTGTTCCTTTGCAAACTTGCACACCATTGCATACCTGATGAGAAATGTTGTGATAGTTGAGTGAGAAACGAGTTTGAGTTTGCAGTGGGAAGAGAGCGGGTCTGCTCTTATACCTTTTTCCTGTTGTATTGACTGATTGTTTAGGCTATTCGTGAGATGAACGGAAAACCCATGGGCGGAGGAAAGAATCTGCATGTTGAACGGCATGTGAAGAGGGACGGGAAGCCGAAAGACCAGCGCGGTAAAACCTACCCTGGTGTCAACCTTTACGTTAAGAACATCGATCACACCATTGACGATGATCGCCTGGAGAAGGAGTTCTCTTCCTATGGAAGTATCACCTCTGTCAAGGTATGCCGTTGTGCCGTTCTTTTTCAGTGTTGTTTGAACCAATCCACTTACGCTGCTGCATCGTGTGCTGTATTGCGTCCTGAAGCCACACAACCACATGTGCTAATCATCATACAGCAGCAAATGTCTGCTGATCGCTGAAATGCGTGATACTTAAATTTACAGCTACACAATCTTTCGCCTCTGTTGTGTGTGTGTGACCACGTGCGCTAGTAATCCGCTTCAGCAGAACGTCACTTGCGGCGTATACCTCAGATGTGAACTTCACTCGCAATGTATACCACAGATGTGCCCTCAGAATGCAGCAGCCATTCGTTGAAATTCCATGAACCTGACATCATTTTGCAGCCTTGGTGTTTGGCTTGACCAGTCGGTCATCACCCACTTTGATACCCGAATTGACATGAGCCGACTGACTATGCATGTGCTGCCTTTAATTCCATGATTCTTGTACAGGTCATGAGGGATGATAGGGGACATAGCAAAGGATTCGGCTTTGTCTGTTTCGCTAGTTCCGAGGACGCTGGCAAGGCGTTGCGGGAAATGAGTGGGAAAATGATCGGTACTAAGCCACTGTACATTGCCCTTGCTCAACGCAAGGAGGACCGACAGGCTCAGTTATCCCAACAGTACACGCATGCACCACCGGCAATGCTTATGCAGCAGCCACCTCAGCAACCACCTCAGCAGCAGCAACAGGTATGTTCTAGATTAGTGTCGGCATCGGTCGGTCATCCGTATAAGAGTTGAACGGTATAACTCTGCTGTCTAAAATTGTTGTCTTGATTTCGGCTTCACAATTCAGCGTGCCGCTCCTGTAGCTATAGCGTTCATGATGGATGTTGTTGGTACATGCACGTCTATTTGGGCTCTGGGTTCCGGTACTCAGTTACATGGGTAGACTGATAAAGTATGCACACGCGTATCCCAGGGATCACTTCAAGGTACCAGCACGTGGGCGTGCAACCAGCTTACTTGCAGATTCACATGTTTGTTTCTTATTCTTTCCTTCTAGCAGTCGACACGATACCGACCCTGTCACTAAGCAGGTATATTCTGCGGCTGTCGTGCGATAATAACAATTGTTGGGTAGTGGGATGGCTGATGGATGTTTTGCCTTACCCATACCGTAAAATCCCGCCAGAGCGCCCCTCCCTCCGCCACCTTTTGAGTAGGTCCAGGCGGGGAGGGGCAGATGGGCGAGTCCTACTTGCCGCATTCAGTACTACATGAAAAAGTACTCACCCTACGAAAACTGTCCGTGCACCTCGTACACCGCCCAAAGGTCAAGAGCAGGGAGTCGTACAGACCCATCAACAATCAGGGTTTGTGCGATCCCTGGTCAAGAGGGTGGGCACTGTTGCGTGCATTTCCAACAGGGTCGAGCACGCGTATGCAGTACAGTACGACTCATACGACATCACAGAGTCCGATGAGGATACAATCAATCATTTCCCTGACAAGAAGTCAGGGAGGGGCGGATGGGAGAGACAGGGCGTTCTGGTGGGATTTTACGGTACTTCCAATATGAATTCATGACGCTGACATGGACCCGGCTTCAATTTTAGCAACATGCATACAGTGCCTCCCCCCCCCCCCACCACCAATCCTTTCTGTCTTAAATTTACAATTCCGTTGCCAACATTTTGTGAAATTTTGATGTCCGCCGTCTTTGTGGTGGTAGACCGGTTACTGGGTAACCATGAGGCCAAATCCACTTACGTCCTATTGTGCGCAGGCTGCCGGTCAGCAGATGCCGGTGTTCCAGCCTCAAGTCTACTATCCCATGCCACCACCACCACCGCAGGCAGCAGCAGCAGCTACAGCAGCTGTAAGTCATCTTTTAACTTACAATTTGTGACTTGGGGCGTGGTGTGTGTGTGTGGGGGGGGGGGGGGGTCATAATCACATAATCAGAAGCATCCTCATTGCTGGGTGCATGCATATGCATGAACAGTGCAAAGAATCCAGGCACAAGTGAGTAACACAAAGGCTACGTACACCATGCAGACTATAGTCCATTCATTCGAGACTTTTTTCTCTTTTTTTTGCTTTGCTTTAGCACCCGCGAGCTCCCTTCATGCCTCGACCGTCTGGCATGCAACCGCCGCCACCGCAGGGCAGGTTCCAGCAGATGAGGCCACCCAGCCAGAACCCACACGGGATGATGCCACCGGCGGGTGCCTATGGCGCCAATGCTGCTAGCAACGTGCACTATTGGCCGCAGGCCAGTCATCCCCAGGGACAGGCGGCGGCCGCGGCGTATCCTGCTGGTGCTGTGCCTGCAGCCGGTCACATTGGCGCGGGGGGTGCTGTCTCCACAGCTGCTCGGTCCAGCTCCAACGCTGAACACTTCAATGGACTGTTGTATCCACCTCATCCACGTGGTGGCCCAGCCCGGGGTCATCAGTACCGGTAACCCAAATGTGGAAGCTGCTGCTTTGCAGAGAGTGTGCATCTCCGGTTTTCTTCAAGCGTAAGCTGGCCCCGGAAAGCAAGCAGCGGACAAGATCACTGGGCACTCTTGACGGTAGACCATGCAGAGATTGCGTGTGCAGGACCAACTTAAATTCTCTTCCAGCTGATAGTGGCTCTGAAAACACGTCTGTGTTGCGGACGCCATACCAGAAGATTGTGGAGATCAGTACATGCAACCCTGGAGAGGAGGTGATTGTCACCGCCATCTTCTTTACTGACACCAGATTGTGTGTCCAACTGTTTATGGTTCTTGTACACTGTGGCTCACCAATAACATGGGCGCGTGATGTCAACATGGATACTGGAAAGACTTACCTAGTTAGGTTGTCTCGGTTACCAGGTTACAACTAGCAAGTCCGATGGAATTTACGATTGCTTCTGTTGCTGGAGAATCGTAAATGCACTACTCCTGACAATCAAAAATATACTTGAAAAAAATGTGTGTGGTTTAGTCACGGAACAAAGTTCATTTTTGTAGAGTCTGGTTACTGCGTATGTAGGATTGTTGCTACTGTAGAGCTTGAGTGGAATTCCACATTAATATATACAAGTACATGCAATTGTCGTCTTGGAAATGGCTGGGGGTGCTGCACCCATTCTTCGTGTGTCCCCAAAGCCGTCTGCACCCATTCTTCGTGTGTCCCCAAAGCCGTCTGCACCCATTCTTCGTGTGTCCCCAAAGCCATCTGCACCCATTCTCCATGTGTCCCCAAAGCCGTCACGCACTAACTAAACACACTGATGTGTGCAGCTCGTAATACAAACTTGGTCCCGCGGTAACGTGGAATGGCAGAGCTTTGGGTATTGTAAATAGAAGTTGAAAAAATTCCACATGTAGACAAGAATCATAAGATCGAGATCAAGAGTGTGGTGCGTAACGTGGAATGTCAGAGCTTTGGGTATTGCAAATAGAAGTTGAAAAAATTCTATGGGTAGACAAGAATGAAAAGATCGAGATCAAGAGTGTGCTCGGTGCAGTCATTCGACACAATCCCAACAGTTATCAGAGTAGATAATTATAGGGGTTGTATTTCCAGAACAAAAGTTAGTTCTCATGGGACATTGTTCAGTGGAATTGCCGTCACTGACGGACTTTCAGGAACATAATTTAGTGGATTGCTGTATAGGGTATATAAAGAGTTTTAATCATCAGGAAGAATGCATAGTGCATATAATCATCTCATGCAATCCCTTCCAGCAGATGCTGCTTTTCAGTTGCACTTTCGACCGGTAGTACAAGCGGCCAAGTCTTTCTGGGAGATGTTTTTAGAATACACACTTCAGTAGATACTTCTCTCTCTAGTGTGCTTCCCATAATTGTTACTGTCTTGCAGTCTTTATGAATTTTTCTTCCTCTTCTCTTTCTTTAGGGGCTGTCTAGTTGCTTTTTCAAAACGAAAAGTATTCCGTTGGGGTGGGTGAGTTTTAGGAGTTAGGTTTTGAAATCGGAGAATGTTCCGGTGCTACTGGGTGCCGAAGATTGAAGTCAATGTTTTGTTGGAATTCGTTTCAACCCCCCCCCCCCTTCAGAAAGGTTGAGTGTGAGTTGAATAATACTACAGTGTTTCGTTAGAAAAAAATCCGGAACCCCACCCCAGACGGCCACTTATTCAATATCCCTTTTGTTAGGCAAAGCGGCGGGCCAGTGCCTGTTTGTTCATATGATATGAGTCTCTGAGTGTAGAAGAAATTTATACTATAAATTATACTAGCAGTATTGTTGGCCAACATAGGCAAGATCCGCAGGGTACACCAAAGTGAAGGAAGAGCTTGAACAAATGGCAAGGCGAGAGAAAAGTTCGAAAAGAGAGGGCCAACGGTTTACAAGTCGGTATCCGTTTTTGTCCAACACTCAACAACTATAATGCATGATACTGGTGGGTCAGAAAAACATGCAACAATTAGCACAATTCCTACCTTAAAACCTTCCAAGTTTGAAGGCTGTCGGTTTGCGCATTCCAAGGCGTGATGCAGCTAAACATTAGGTTGTTGAATGTCAGTATCCGAGACATCAGTCAAACCGGTACGTGCTAATTATTATTATTGCATGTTCCGACTCACCAGTATCATGCTTTTAAAATTGCTAGTGTTGGACAAAACGGGTTAATCCTAGGCTCTCCATCGGAGCCGGACAGAGAAATCACAATGGAAAGCAGCAGCATGAACTGAATCAGCATTGGTTTAAAAAGAAAGTCTCTCTGTTTTGATCGTGCATTCCCTGTAGGTAGTATCATTGTCGGTAATCGCAGTTATGTGGGGAGATCATGCGCTCCTGGGAACTTTACCTAGGCCCAATGCATAGCCGCACGAAAGTGCACAGCCTGATGTTCAAGAAACCTAGTTCGCCGTGTTGACCTATTTACATTTTTTAGCTTGAAGGCCAAAGACAAGGAAACTGGTAGTAGCAGTTCACAGCAGATAATGCAGGAATCAATTACGTGGATGTAGCTTGTAATCCTCATAATAATAATTAGAACTTTGGCTCTGACTGCCAGTGTCTGGGGTGTGCTCGGCTCCTCAGAAGAAGAACGCTTGGACTAGTTACGTCATGTCAGCGCACTACTGCTACGCTAGGCCGTCTTTGAAGGCTTGGTGTGCTTGATCTCGGTGTGTCCGGCGTTGCGATAGACCTCGCCAGCTATAGAATGGTCTACTTTATCCAGTCCCTGTTGCCATAGAACAAAGCAGCACACATCCGGGGAAATTGTTTATTGGAAGTACAGTATTGTATAGTAGCTAGTGGTGTCCGAGTACCCGTGCTACCCCCGTGAGGACCTCGGGTAGTCGGGTACCGAATAGTACCCGAAAACCCGAGGTCGCAGATGACATCATGTACAGTGCACGTGTACAAATAATTCACGCATGTCTACCCAATGTGCAAGGGAAGGGGGCGGTGTGCATTGTGGTCTTACCATGGAAACATTACCCGATCGGGTACCCGTGCTACCCGTGGAAAACTACCCGGACCCGATACCCGAAGAAAATGCTACCCGACTCAGCCCTAGTAGTAGCCTTCACTGCACACCTCTAAGTTTGTAAGAAAGGGGTTGCTCCCCACACCGGAGCTTGCGCTATTCCGCCGACGTTACTTGACACTTGACTGACTCACGACTGCCAGCCAGAGCACACGAGAAGTCCATCGAACCTTCGACTCGGCAAACCTGCAAGAAAGCACCACTCCCTGCTCAATACACAGTGTTCCGAGGGTCCTCGACGTCTGTCTGACCGTCCAGGAGCGACACTGACTCACGCTGCTATCTGGTGTTCACGAGGTGTTTGTTGCGCTGGAAACGGAGCGTCTCTGTAAGTTTGTATCCCTGGTGATGTTTGTGCCTGGAGAGCACTATATAAGTGGTGCTCTTCAGGCACAATCTTCCTCAGCCTACTCAAGCTCAACTGATGAGGGGTGAATTCCCCGAAACACTGTGTATTGAGCAGGGAGTGGTGCTTTCTTGCAGGTTTGCCGAGTCGAAGGTTCGATGGACTTCTCGTGTGCTCTGGATGGCAGTCGTGAATCAGTCAAGTGTCAAGTTACGTCGGCGGAATAGCGCGAGCTCCGGTGTGGGGAGCAAACCCTTTCTTACAAATCATCGCCGAAGTCGCAACCACTACTTCGTACCTCTAAGTTTGTAGCTCTTAAATTTCATGTCAATCTGTGGACAGAACAGTTTGGTCCTTTGTGCATTCGTCTCACTGCAGCAGCACATAAAAATGCCCCCCCCCCCCCACCAACACATTGCACTCAGTCATTCCGTGGCACGAGCTAAGATGGCATGCTGCACCTGCAAATCCCTTGGATGGCTGCTATGAAAATCATGAGTTTGCTCTACAGCATTTGTTTCTCCAATACTATAAACAGGGAAGCTGTTGCGCTAGTTTTACTTTTAACAATTTGCAAGCACAGACCAATTTGCACCTCCGTGGAAATGTTTGCGTTTGGAGTCGATATGATTTTTGTTTAGAGCTACAGTTCTATGCTTTGCTCTAGCTCACTTTTTCTGATTTCACACTCTTCGCGAAAATCATGAACGTCTCCGGATCACAAACTGGCTTCCTGGTTTAGAGAGTATCCCGGCAGCCTATACAGTATCCCTGTCTATGCAGTATCCCGGCCTATACATGTACCTTTTTTCCATGGTCAAAGCCGAGCTCCCGCTCCCAGCGCACCATTGCTGCCGGCCTGTAGTTGGTGATGAATCCGCGCCGCGTCGTCTTGCTGCTGTTGCCACGGGAGTAGTGCAGCGTGCGGCCATGGTGCATCGTGCACGAGCCTGGCGAGAGTGGCTGCGGTACCCCCTCATCCTGTATCAATCCACCAACAACAATAATTGGATGTGAACTAATCGTGAACAAACACATGTTTGCTAGCATACCAACGGGTATCACCCTTGGGGTGTGGGAATGTGATAAATATGAGGAAACTAGACCCAGATACAACCCAAATAGACCCACTCACGCACGCACATGCACACACGCTCATGCACACACATGCACACGTACACCACACACACACACACACACACACACACACACACACACACACACACACACACACACACACACACACACACACACACACACACACACACACACACACACACACACACACACACACACACACACACACACACACACACACACACACACACACACACTCACACACACACACACACACACACACATACACAGAGGAACAGGCATTATACTCTCATTCACCAGCAACTCTACCTCGGATGCTTCACATTGCAGCACGTGTGCACCCTCTGCCGCTGGCTTGTGAGCACGGAGTGGCTGCAGATGCGATCCCGGGACAAACCACATACATCCGTTGTCCAGCGTAGTATGTTCCATTGCCACCTGTGAACAGTGCATGCAATGCATGTAAGTTGAATGATGTAACGGTTACAACTGCACATCATGACAGAAAGCCTGGTACATGCTGCAGCGGGCGCATAGCCGTAAGGGGCATGGAGGGGGGGGGGGCAAGTGCACCTCCCCCCCCCCCCCCCCCCCCCCGCCGCCGAAATAAAATCATTCTACCTTCCTTCAGCATGTGCATGTTTGGCCTAGTGGCCTGGGGATTGCAATTCAGTGCCTGTTGTGTAGCCAGAGTATCAGAGTGCGAAGCCCACTTGTACTTGTAACTAGACAGTGTGGGAAACAGCACAGGGCACTACAACCTCGTTTGAGATGCTTGTCACCAGCTCATTAGCATGGTATTGCAGCGCCGGGTATGTACCGTATGTGAAGCAGGCCAGTACATGTAGATGGCAGGGGACATTGACTGCAGGTCAAGCAGGTACAGGGGCATTGGCTGCAGGTCAAGCAGGTACAGGGGCATTGGCTGCAGGTCAAGCAGGTACAGGGGCATTGGCTGCAGGTCAAGCAGGTACAGGGGCATTGGCTGCAGGTCAAGCAGGTACAGGGGCATTGGCTGCAGGTCAAGCAGGTACAGGGGCATTGGCTGCAGGTCAAGCAGGTACAGGGGCATTGGCTGCAGGTCAAGCAGGTACAGGGGCATTGGCTGCAGGTCAAGCAGGTACAGGGGCATTAGCTGCAGGTCAAGCAGGTACAGGGGCATTGGCTGCAGGTCAAGCAGGTACAGGGGCATTGGCTGCAGGTCAAGCAGGTACAGGGGCATTGGCTGCAGGTCAAGCAGGTACAGGGGCATCGGAAGGTAATTTAGTGTGGTACGGTCAGCCATCTGAAGTACAATTTACTCGTGGGGGGGGGAGGGGTGGCTGAGCAGAATTTTTTGGAAATTTAGAGCCCAAATCAGTGCATTTTATTGATTCACGGGGTACTCGGGGCAAATAGTGGTACGGTCAATACCGTAGTGACCGTACCGTGTGCGACGCCCCTGAGGTATTCTGTCTAGGACTCTAGCCTAGGCATAATCTTGACATAGTTCTTGGGCTCAGAAGAGAGTCGAACCAACTGATGCGAGTCTGACCCAATCGACAGCTGTATGTGGCTGGACTCGTGCTGGTACGTCGTCGCTGGTATTACCAAGCGTTTGCTCCAATTGACAGTTGATTAGTCAGGCTTGCGCTGCCTATTTTCCTATCATGTTATCAAGGTACCAGTGAGTGCGCTTGATTATGCCCACGAATCGATGTTGCATCCATTCATGAATCACCCCCGGCTATTCATATCACCCCATGTGAATAGGGTGAACGGATTCCTAACCGATACCAGGGCTCATTAAATGAAATTGAGCGGCGAGATTCCATTCATGAATCGATTCATGGCAGTAATCGCCCGCACCCACTACGTGTTAACCTGGTCCCCTCACTCACGGGCCGTGACACTCACCCAGCAGGATACCGCTCTCTTATCTGGCATACTGGGCCAGTACGACTCGTCCTGATGCCATGGTGTTGGCGTGTTCGTCTCGGGATCCTTGACGGCAAGCGAGAAAGAAAGAAACGCAGACGGTCAACGGAACGTAATATACCAGTACCTGTTGCAGAGATGCGCAAGTTACCTCCATCTAAAACAAGCATTACCTCCATACAGGTATATAAGATGACTGACATTAGCAAGCATTTAAGGCCATTCTCCTGGATATCGGGTACAAGGTACCAGCACTGTTCAGTGGCAGAGTTGTAAAAAGATTTATTTTTACCTGCTGACTGTATGACCTGGGCTTCGCAGAAAAGAAGAATCTCACCTTGGCAATCAGCATATCAAAGTCAAAGTCCAGGTCATCTCCCAGTATCGTTCTGGATATCTCTCCTGTCCGTTGGTGTAATGGTCCCTGTATGGAGTGAATTGTAGACAGATATAATGTATCTGTCTATAGCGATTTTAGATTCTTTGCAACGGTTATTTACCCGTGCATGGAGATATTGTGATTACATCGGGGTTTGGTCTAGTTGTTTTATGTGGAATAGCACAACAAGCACTGGATTGCCATGCTCTGCAAAGCATATGATTGTAGTGATGTAGTTTGTATAGCCTCCATTGGAGAGGCTTCTCGGACACAGCATATACGTATGGTCAAAGACAATAATAATTATGGCCGGTAGTACTGCTATGTGCACCCATAGAGTCCTCTCATTCTACGCCAATCCGCTGATTGCGGACGGAAGCGGCACAGCGATTTGAAGCAGATCCAGCTATGGGAGTTGATTTTGGCCTGATGCACGTGGTCTTGTTGCTCAAGTGTATCCCCACGACAACATACTGCCGAACATCCGGATGACAACGAAGCAGTAGCAGTACCAACATAATCTGCACGTGTCGTGACCACATAATTCTGCCACGCTCAATACTCACACACTCCAGCTGATCGACGTACACACTCGGCCACATGATCTGGCAGACGTTTTCCGCGCCCTTCTGCTTCTGTTCCACTACATACATAAACGTACGCGACATCAAGGGAACCAGAGTGGGTACTCAGTGCATGTGTGATCAGCTCTGTACACGCATACTGCAGTAGCACAATTCTCGCAAATTTAGTTTCAATGCTATACAAGAGCGACCAATTAAAGTTTAAAAAATTATGAAATATTCATCTGAAGAGGTCGGGTGGTTGCACTGGAGGTCATGATGACTCTCTTTTCATTTTTCACAGTGCATACTCAGATCAATAGAAATACAGCTGAATATCGGGCCACAGAGATCTGGCTCATGACTTTCACCAATTCTAACGTGACATCAGTGATAACTGTTATACACATACAATACATATCCTAATAATAATAATAATAATGACAGTTCGCATTTCACTCATTGCATGAGGTCAACGCATCTGTTAACAATTTCGAGCCAAGCAGCTCTATCAGAAGCAGATTGCACAGCATCCAGAAGCGACAGATTAATGCATTGTAAGTCATCCTATACTAGTAGTTAATACGATCATAACTTCAAAAGAGCTACTCGGATGGATGCCCCCCCCCCCCCACACACACACACATAGCAGCCGTGACGATGCCCATGGCGTCATGCACATTATTGATTACCCCAGTTCATCACAAGATGGCCCTGAATCCCCTGGCAGTCCCTGGCAGTATTCAGCTAAACACCTATTATCATTTCCTTTACTGGCCTATTAAACTGGCTTTTGATACTTTATTACCCACTCTACTCAGTATCATTAGTTCATTACCCACTCTACTCAGTATCATTAGTTCATTACCCACTCTACTCAGTATCATTAGTTCATTACCCACTCTACTCAGTATCATTAGTTCATTACCCACTCTACTCAGTATCATTACCTTCATTGGCCAAATAATTTATACTTTATTCTCCTTTTTAGTCGATATCATGTAATTAGGCAAATTTGCCTGTTTGTTCTTCGACTCTAATAAATTGATAAACAAACAACAACAACCTACCATGAGAGCCAAGGTCATGGCGATGTGATGAGGAGTCGATTTCACCTTCCATTAGCTGACGGTAGATTTCTGCATTGGCCGGACGGAAAGAAGAAAGCGGCACTGAGCAAGGAGCTCTGAGCAAACTTTTTGGGATCTTATTATAAATTATTTAATGCCTTGTGCACATTACAAGTATTAAAGCAATGCCACGGTTGTAAAAAAGTAATTTCATTCAAGCGTATAGGCAATCAGATAGTCTTGCACCGCCGGGTGTGATCTCATGTCATGTCATGGCTGTGTGCAGTTGAAATCATTCTGTACCTTTATACACGTCCAGCTCTTCTTGGTCCAATAAGTCTTCAATGACCTGCACCGCAAAGTCAGTCAGTCACAGAATGATACTGAGCACGTCCAATGCGAAACACCATCACGTATGTTATCCATGCGTCACTTGGAAAGTCGAATGATGAGGCTCTGGCACAGATCAACACTTGTAACAATCCAGCATAATAGATACCGTACATGCAGCAGCAAATCTCATTCAATGCAACGTGTGCCGGATTGTCAGTGAGCCCGTCTAAGCTGTTTGTATTGCGTGTAGGCAAATGTACTCTACATGTACACAAGGGAGTCGTAGCATCACAATACGAATTCAAATAAACATTAAAAAAAACAAAAAACAATACCCAAAATTTTATAATACTTCGAAGTAGCAATAAAGAGAACAAACTCCGCAGTCATCGCCACACTACAACGAAGTCATGAAAGTTTACCAGAATTAATTTTCTTGTCACATTTATCAGTGGAGTTTGTTCTCTTTATTGCTATTATAAAATTGTTGTCTCCACGTCGATTAATACCCAAAATGGTGTGCATTTTGACCCCGGATTGGGAAGCCCTACGTACAGTGTAGCTGCTACGTAGTACATGTAACATGGTCTGTACAACTCCTAATTGTGGCCTTGACCTGCTGAGCTCAAGAGCAACCCAGACCACTGATTATGCTTGTATGAGAGGGGTGTATAAACCGGCCCTGCCCCAAGGGCGACTGTAACAGGACGACCGGGAGCGAAGGCCTCATTGCTTCACATTCCAGTCGCCCATGTCATCCCCCTAGGTGTCACGACTCCCTGATATAAACCCTGGAGAAAGCTGTGAGTCGTACGTGAGTTTGGATGGTATAATTGCATTATCAGAATTCAAAGGCATAAAGATGTCACGCGAATGGTTTCATCGGGATTTTCAAATGGGCACAAGTATACGAGTGTGAGTCAGCAGATTTCCGAATAAGGGTGCAGCGTTAGTCGCTAGTGTAAGTACAGTGCTGTGCCGCGAGTCCGCGACTTTGCCGAAGGCGGAAGCATCTCAACTGATGACGTAATCGCATAACCTCTACACCTGCCCTGGTAAATACGTTCTTACCAGATATCCGTTGGTGGCAAACTGCTCCTTCCACTTGCCATGGTTTGGATGATTATCCTTCCACTGTGCTGCTGTCTTGGCTAGTGACAGCTCCTTCAGGCGGTCGGCAAACGCTGATGAACTTCTCACCGCCATTGCCGCGCCGTGCAAACTAGCACAACCAAACCATGGCATGAAGGAGAAGCAGCGACTTGGTGACTTGGTGACTGTGATGGTACTCAAAGCACCTAGTGCATGTGCACATTGTACATGTACTGCATAACATCTCAACATAACATACATGTTCATAGCATTGCTCACAGAGTCACACTCCTTTCACAATCAGCTCTCATCAACGCCGAAAACTTAGGGATTGTGGCTTAGACCCGGTGTGGCTAACACTCCCGAAAATACAGTACATGCACATGCACACACTACAGTACATCATGGTACAATGTACATGCCAAGATGATGGGGTTGTCTGCACAATGGCCAATACTGTTGGCAATACATAATTCTTTGCATTGCACTTGCAGCTGGCAATGCCAAAAATCATGTAGTGTAAACCCTTTGAATGAGGCCCTGCACCCTGTCATATCCGCGGGAACAGTATCAGCTGATTCAGCAATATTATTTTTGTACACAATCCGCTAATCATACAAGTACATATACAATGCGTTTTTTTTCAATCAAGTCTGTGTGTGTGTTCTTACCCGGCTCTGCGTTGAATAGCTCGAGTAGTTTTACCCAGCAACCTGCCAGCCTGCATTACGGTCGTTGTTCTATGGAGTATGGTTACTCCCCGTGTGTCTACACTACAGCCTTCAGGTCACGATGCACAATGATCAACGTTTTCCTGGCACTCCGCAAATGAATTACCGGTATGCAACTAAACAGCGGCAATTACTTGAAAGGCACTTGCAATGCCACCCGGTAATTGATCATCCTATACTCAGTATCGCCCGGGACTATCGGACTAGGTGGCGTGAAAGTCAAAGGTCCAGCACCGTCACCCGCGACTGACTGGCGTCCTTGCTAGGAAGCCACACTGGGACCTTCTTTCTCCAGAACTCCGCAGAAACTTCATCCCAGAAGGCAGAAGAGAGCGGGGAACCAAGCTTCAAGGATCATCGAGTCGACCGCTCGTGCCGTCATCATAAGTTAGTTATAACTAACTGTGTGACATCAACAGTCAGTGATTGCGGTCATGGTTCAGACCTAACATGACAACAAAGACTGTGGTCATGTAGATCTACCAAGAGTATAACTCCCCAGGCCCAGCTTATGAGTGATGTAGATCTACTGGTACGGTAGCGAAGGAGCAGTGTCAATAGAAGGACACCAGCATTACAATGTAGATAAACCTTGTTTTAGTTCACACATGTTGTTGGTTTGACAGCATTGGAAAGAAGGTGGAGGACATACGGTTCAGATGGTCTCAACAGACCGAGGCTCTACCAACCGTGTGGATGGTTGTAGAAAGGTCACTGTGTCCGAAATCCGAACACCGTGTCCTCCACCTTGTTTCATGCTGTCAAACCAACAACAAGTACACCAGTGTAAAAACAATAAGAGGGAAGAGAAAGTGTTTTAACTCTGAGTTTCACGCACTAAGCGATCATCAAAAAACAGTAATGAGTACATCTGGATCAGACAAGTTCTTTGGAGTCGGTTCGGCCAGTAACCCTGAGCCCCTCCGAACTCTAACGAGGTCGAAACAGCTAGCTGTCAGGAGATTGGCTGCAGAGCAATGCTATTTTTATGCAGAAGATACTGGCGCAAGGTGTGAACCAGGGGCAGGGAGTCGCGTAAACCAAAGGCTACGACTCCCTGGTGTGAACAATCAAATAACCATGATAACACTCAACTATTACTACACTGTACATGTAACTCACATACATGTGCAGTGTACATTCTATGTGAGAAGCGAACACACAAAGACTCGAATGGTGCAGAATGGACGTGTTATGGACCCTGGCCGACCAGGCACAACTGTCATAAGTGCTAAGTAAAATGGTTAGAGCCTCTGAAGACTCCGCCATTAATATACATTATTGTGTGTTTTACATGACACCAATACCGGCGCGGTACCCGTCGTACATGTACATGCATGTGCATGCAGGCTTCTTCCTAGCGCTGCCTACTCCCTGCGCTGCAATTAAATGCGACTCTCAAAGCCCTGACGCTCTGGGCACTGAATACATCTAGTGGCGGATTCAAAAGGAACAACTGTATAATGTCTCTATATTTCTCTCGTCTCTCTGTCTCCCTGTCTCTGTCTCTCTCTCTCTGTCTCTCTCTGTGTCTGTCTCTGTCTCTCTCTGTCTCTGTTTCTCTCTGTCTCTGTCTGTCTGTCTGTCTGTCTGTCCGTCTGTCTGTCTGTCTGTCTGTCTGTCTCTCGCTCTCTCTCTCTCACACACACACACACACACACACACACACACACACACACACACACACACACACACACACACACACACAACAACAACAACAACAACAACAACAATTTCGAGCGTGATGATATCGACAGTGCTCGCCTCACCATGATGGCAGCCTTACGAGCCCATCCCAAGTCGCACAAGATATGGTTAGAGTACTGTCGCATGGAGCTCCTGCACGTGGACAAGCTGAGGAAGCGTTACGTCCTTACCGTTGCTCCGAGCAAGAAGTCTAATAGGACACATGTAGATGAGGAAAAGCTACTGGAAGGCGAGCAGTTCTCCTGCAAGGTGGCCGATCAGATATACCATGCGGCGGCCAAGCGCATTGAGGATGTGGCAGTGCATGTGAGCTTCTTGTCGTTGTTCCTCCGGTTTTCTTTCGCGCAGAAATCTTGTGATGCTGTGTATGCAAAGCTTGCCGAGGAATATCCCGATCACCCGGTCTCTGTAAATGCCAGATGCAATCGTCCACTTGCATCTCAGACGATTTCAAGTGCAGCAGTGCGTGCGGAACGCGAGTGCGACTGCGATCAGCTGTTTCGTGCCGCGTTGGATGAGAGCCCGTCGGTTGAGCTGTGGGAATTCTACTGCCGCTTTTGGTTTGCCGCCGTGGAGCATCATCGCTTGAGAAGCAATACACAGTTACTGGAGACTGCTCTTCGGCAGATGTTCACTGCATGTCAGCTAGCACTGGATAGAGACAGTGTGTCACTGTCCGTCGGAAGGCATTGGCTGGACCAGTTACCAATGGTTACTTCTCACTGGCCATCCTGCAGCTGCTATCAAAGTCATGGACAGTCTTCTCACTAAGTACAGCGACTGTGAAGAGCTTTGGCTAAAGCGATTACAGCTAGAACTGAGTCAACCGGATAGCAAGTTACTAAGTTAGTTTGCCGAGCTCGTGGAAGCTAGCCAGAAGAGTGTAGAACTGGAGAAATCTCCTGACTTTCAGGCAATGTGCAAGCTGGCATCAGCATAATGTTCCTACTGTGGAAGGAGGTCTCGTAGGATTTTAATTTTGAAGAACAACCCAACGCTAACTAAGCTGCCTGTTCAAGAAAGGACAGGTGTGTGTGTGTGTCGGGGGGGGGGGGGGAGTGGGGTGTGTAGTCTGGCCCCGTTGAGACTACTTCGAGTACATGTATTGAATCATGGTATTTGATAAACCCATACAGTTCAGATGGTCGTGAAGACCGGGGCTCTACCAACCGCGGATTTATTTTTATTTATTTTATTTCTGCACCTCGTGGCATGTCAAGACAGCCAATTGAATTGAGGAGAGGGTGAGACCAACCACGGAAGAAGAGAAAAAAGAAAATGAAGAGCACGTACACAAAGTGGGAAGGGATTAGCAACTTACAAAGCAATGGGATGCTCAGCGAGCTATGCAGCGGAAGTGGTGACTGTGACTTTGTTTACTGGGAGATACTGAAGTGCTGTCTGACGAGGGTACGGAATTTGGGCATATCTGGAGCTTGTCTAACACTGGGAGGCAGTTGGAGCCACGTGGAGTAGGAGGAAAAGAAAGGGGAATTTACGAATAGGGTAGACCTAGCTAGGGGGAGACGAACGCAGCTTCGGGTGGTGCCACCTGAATTTAACCAATTAAGGGACTGTAAATGAGCAGGGTGCTGGCCAAGGAAAATTGAATGTGCCAGGGTGCACTTGGAAGCATCAAGGTAATGTTGCAGAGTGGTAGTGGATGCAGCAGCATACAAGTCTAGATTTGAGATATAACGATCAGTACGGAATATGATTCGCAGTATACGGCGATGGAGAACTTCTAATTTACCTATGTGGGTTTTGTTAATGGTGGACCAGGCAGGGACGCCGTACGTGAAGAGGGGAAGAATGTATGATTTATAAAAATTAATCCGGCAATTTTTGGGCAAATGGGACAAGTGACTTGACATTATGCCGACAGATCGGCATACTTTGGACGACACATGATCAGCATGGTGAGACCAGGAGAGGGCGGAATCTATGGGATGGTTGTGGTAAGGTCACTGTTTCCGAACACAGTGCCAGTGGTCACCACCGTGTTACATGCTGTCAACCAACAATGTATTGAATCAGCATTGATGTTGGAGTAAATAATCGATTTGTGAGCAAGGGCAGCAGGAAACCATGGTAACGTGCAAGGTTATGACTGTACTTTGTGCATCATCCATAGCCCAGACACTATGTACTGGTCACCGTGCCGGCTCTAGCCCAGACACCATGTACTGGTCACCGTGCCGGCTCTAGCCCAGACACTATGTACCAGATGTACTGGTCACCGTGCCGGCTCTAGCCCAGACACCATGTACTGGTCACCGTGCCGGCTCTAGCCCAGACACCATGTACTGGTCACCGTGCCGGCTCTAGCCCAGACACCATGTACTGGTCACCGTGCCGGCTCTAGCCCAGACACCATGTACTGGTCACCGTGCCGGCTCTAGCCCAGACACCATGTACTGGTCACCGTGCCGGCTCTAGCCCAGACACCATGTACTGGTCACCGTGCCGGCTCTAGCCCAGACACTATGTACTGGTCACCGTGCCGGCTCTAGCCCAGACACCATGTACTGGTCACCGTGCCGGCTCTAGCCCAGACACCATGTACTGGTCACCGTGCCGGCTCTAGCCCAGACACCATGTACTGGTCACCGTGCCGGCTCTAGCCCAGACACCATGTACTGGTCACCATGTACTGGTCACCGTGCCGGCTCTAGCCCAGACACCATGTACTGGTCACCGTGCCGGCTCTAGCCCAGACACCATGTACTGGTCACCGTGCCGGCTCTAGCCCAGACACCATGTACTGGTCACCGTGCCGGCTCTAGCCCAGACACCATGTACTGGTCACCGTGCCGGCTCTAGCCCAGACACCATGTACTGGTCACCGTGCCGGCTCTAGCCCAGACACCATGTACTGGTCACCGTGCCGGCTCTAGCCCAGACACCATGTACTGGTCACCGTGCCGGCTCTAGCCCAGACACCATGTACTGGTCACCGTGCCGGCTCTAGCCCAGACACCATGTACTGGTCACCGTGCCGGCTCTAGCCCAGACACCATGTACTGGTCACCGTGCCGGCTCTAGCCCAGACACCATGTACTGGTCACCGTGGTGCCGGCTCTAGCCCAGACACCATGTACTGGTCACCGTGCCGGCTCTAGCCCAGACACCATGTACTGGTCACCATGCCGGCTCTAGCCCAGACACCATGTACTGGTCACCGTGCCGGCTCTAGCCCAGACACCATGTACTGGTCACCGTGCCGGCTCTAGCCCAGACACCATGTACTGGTCACCGTGCCGGCTCTAGCCCAGACACCATGTACTGGTCACCGTGCCGGCTCTAGCCCAGACACCATGTACTGGTCACCGTGCCGGCTCTAGCCCAGACACCATGTACTGGTCACCGTGCCGGCTCTAGCCCAGACACCATGTACTGGTCACCGTGCCGGCTCTAGCCCAGACACCATGTACTGGTCACCGTGCCGGCTCTAGCCCAGACACCATGTACTGGTCACCGTGCCGGCTCTAGCCCAGACACCATGTACTGGTCACCGTGCCGGCTCTAGCCCAGACACTATGTACTGGTCACCGTGCCGGCTCTAGCCCAGACACCATGTACTGGTCACCGTGCCGGCTCTAGCCCAGACACCATGTACTGGTCACCGTGCCGGCTCTAGCCCAGACACCATGTACTG